TTCCTAAAAGATTCGTATTCTACAGTATTACAGTATTTTACACCATAAAAGTCACCCATTGCCCTCAAACTCTAGTTTGTCGCTGCTATCTTTGCTAACTTTACTGCCCTATCCGTACTGGTGGCAGTTATTAACACTACAAGATATCGTCTGATCCGTATCTTAAGCTCATTCTAAATGATCAATGTCTCAAAGTTATTGAAAGAAATAATTATCAGCTCCAACTACACTCACTCGCCTGCTTTCATACAACTTGCACCATATATATCTTGTGAAGTAGGACTTGCTCGACCTCGTTGCTCCGCTACTTGCTTCAATTACTGCATTCAGCTTTCCCCGGGACCCTTGGCACTGTCAACCTCATAAAGCTTATCATTTCTCGATTTTTTTCATTCGTTTCGGTTTTTTTCCTAAAGATAACCGACGCATCAGGTTTCAAGCGGATTTTGCACAGCTTGGTCTGGATCCTCGTATCCACTCTCCTGTACATTAATTGTACTGTGTACCTTTCTTTTGCAATTGCGGATATCATTGCGTATTAAATACCAACTTTCTCCACCAGGACCGCTGTTACCCGCACATGAAAGTTGGTCAGGAACAAAGGAATCCTAAACACCTCGAATCCATTACCTTATAAAAGGGAAACAATTGCTTGAGTAGCTTTCCAAGACGAGTACATTGTGGGAATGAAGTACGGTCAACAATTCCAGTCGGACTCTGTGCCACAATGGGCGCCATGTGAGTGTGAAACATTCTCGTTTTATTGGTGTGATAGCGAAAATATCATGACGCAGATCTGTACTGACACACAGCTTTCTCGCTCTGCGATTAGACAACCTTGATTATGATGAATTGAAGAGTTCGATAAAGCACAATACCACAAGAGATTCTGGAAAGTCGATCACTATTCCGGGTCATGTCGATACTTCTTTAGTCGCATTCGAGAATGAATTCTTTACAGAGTTATCAAACCAACACGATCGGGTCGAACTGTTTGTTAAGAGCAAGAGTGAGGAGATTGGTCGCAGACTTCGTATGTAGAGGGTCAATTTGAGACTGTTACCAGCCAATACATGCTAATAACTGAACAACAGAATATCTATCGACTATTGTCCTGCGACTACTTGCAAGATGTGCAGAAAGCTCCAATGGGCAGATGACGAGGAAGAGGATGAACAAGTTTTCCAAGTATAACTTGCAGATTGAGAGTTGCGGGGATGATCTTGCGAAAGTGGATCGATTCGTTGAAGCGCAGCGTGTCGCATTCTACAAATTATTGAAGAAATATACGGTATGGACGATTACATGTGAAATCAATAATGCAAAAACTTATTTGATGTCGTTAGAAATGGACCGGATCTCGAACACTCAAGGAACGATTCGAAGTTGAGGTATTGGGCAATCCAAAAAGCTTCACCAGGCAAGATTTTAGTTCTTTACATTCTCAATATAACGATCTCATCACGCTTATCCGAGCTTCTACGCCAATGACAAGCGGGCCGTCTACTCCTAGTATGGGTTCGAGGAGAGACAGTCTCGGCCGTGCCCCATCGCAAACACTACAGCGATCGCCGCCTCGACAAACATATTGGAACGAATACGACAACGGGAGTGATGTTGATCAGGACGAGCCTTACTATATATACACAGATCCTAACGCGGAAATGACGTTCCCTGGCGCAGAAGTTGTAGCAAGTGCGATTCGACGAACAAAACAAGGAATGGGAAAAGTTAGGGGTTGGTTTATACCTCCCGGCTCAACAAAAAATCGCGAACGTGAGCCACTATTGGGAAATCGAGATAGAGGATACTTTCAACAAAGTCCAAGCGGAACAGCCAATGGTTCGATAACCGATGTCGAAGACGAAGCGTATGCCTCCTCGGCGGACTTCCCGAATGGATATGTTGCTCATTATGCAACTTTTCCCAGCGTGGCGGATCAGCGATTGAGTCGATTCCAAGAACAAACTTTGTTATTCACAATGATTGCTTGCTTTTTCTTTTCAATACTATCTGAAGCTGCATCCACACTTCTCCTTGCAACAGGTCGACATAAATTAAGGACGGAAGTTGACTTGGGTGCACTCACGGGTGCCTTATTAGGATTTGCTCTGGCTGCTGGTGGATTAATTTGCATGGCATGTCGGAATGAAAAGCTTGGTTGGGTGCACCGAGGAGTTGTGCTTATTATAACTGCTCTTTTGTTGATTGGGAGTATTGTGCTCTTGATTATGGTAATTGGGAACTAAGCCTCTCATTACGATCTCTAGCTAACGAACTACTTAAGACCCGCCGGTAGACACTATCCAGGATGGCGAGCGTTCAACGTAGTAGAGACAAATCGGCTTATATCATCAAGGTATCGTACATACTAGCACCATTGCTTTGCAAGTTGTCTGTCTCTCAACTTTAGTTTTTTCCTATGTGTTTCTTGTGCTATTTGCTTTACTCTGTCTATAGCGGGCGTATTTTGGCGGTTGATTCGTTTGGCATTTTGGTGTTTAGTATGGGAGGCACGTGCTAGATTGCGAGATTTGATCGGGCAATTAATGGGACTATCAAACGAGTTCATGGTCGTACTTTGACGACCTAACAATTTAGAATTGCATTTCAACATAGAGAAGTGCGGGAATATTGGGAGTACGCAACGGCCGAAGGTGTGGATGGATTCAATGGTTTGAGAAGAAACAATGGAACTGGGGATGAGGATTTGTGCGTTTTCTGTTGGGTTTGATGGAGTGGAGTTGAGTGGATTGATGTGAAGTGGAGTTTGTTGGTTGAAGTCAGCGGAGTTGTTGGTATGTGTGATTTTGTACCGGTGTTTTTAGGTGATGTTGAATGTCACAGTCGCGCGCTATGGCATTCAACATGATGGAGGTAGGCTAGTATAATACAATTGAATGAAAGATGTTGATTCAAAGTCCTCTTGACTAGATGTTCTGCCTTGCGCACAGAGTATATGTTCACGTGTAGACAATATAAAAGTCTCAGTCACATCAGGTTGCACTTTTGTATCATGTCATGTTGTTTTGATACTGTTCTGTCATAGGTCATACATATCATTCATCAAGTATACCTAGGTGTATGCCAAGATATTGGATCAGATGATGCCAATCACATGCTTCGCTTCCGTTTTCCCGTGGTGTTGTAGAAAGGGGGAGAATCTTTGTGTTTCTGAAGGCGAGGTGATGATTGGTCACTGTTGGTGGGCTTTTGAGTAGACTAGAGCTTGTGGGGAGAGAAAAGTTTTCGGTAGGGGGAAGGGGGGTGGATTCTGGAGAGGGTGAAGGAGAGTGGGGTGGATAGAGGGACGAGGTATTTAGCCTATACCATGAAATGGATAGGACGGCTGTTTCCATGATTCATGATGGAGTTTGTTGTTCATGGAAAATTGTGAAGGAAAGGGTTGGTTCTGGAGTAGCTAGCTATTGCTATTGTATGGATTGAAGTGGAGTGGGGTGGAGTAGTGCAGTCAGTATAGATGTAGTTGGTGGATGTTATATTTGATTTTTACTCTTTGTTGGGGATGAAAAGATTTTTTTTCTCTTTCGGGTTTTGGATGGTGTTTAAACTTTAGGCGAGAAGATGGAATGGGGGTTATGAAGTTTGAATGTATATAGTAGATCTAATGTGTCAGAAGAAAAGAGGTAAGGGTGGCAAGAGAAAACGTGATGAGACACAAAAGATAGTATAGAATATGCTGCTTACCCCCTATGTCCCAGATCTAAGGAACTTCCTCGATATCGATAACCCTAAAATCTCACTCCCAAATCGACGGTGTTCCACCGGAGATGTTTTTCCTTCTCTCCCACTTATGATTTTGCAATGCATGTATATCATACACACAATATCACACATACGTATACATATACGAACAGGCGCGCGAATCTGCGCACCGAACACCTCAAGCGGATGCAAAAAAAACCAATAGGTCTCGAGATGAAGATGGAATGTTGTAGTGTCAAACCCGCATGAGCAATCAAGATCTAGAAAGTAAAATAAATGAATGACATGTGGATGCAATGGTGCATGCATGCATGAAGATGGAGTAGGGTCCGCGGGTGCGGTAGGTGAATCCGTCGGGGAGAAAAATTTGATGAGTTTGATGGGTGTGGTGAGTGGGGTGTTTGGTCGATGGGTGGGGTTGGCCGTTACCGTTGTGATTGTGGAGTGGAGTTCCAAGGTTTTGTGCGAGGAGATTTAAGCGAGGGGGTTGTGGTTGGTTGCAGGGCAGGGGGTCACATGCGGCTTTGTACCTGCAGGTACGAGATTTAGTTTGGGTGAGAGGGGGGAAGGGGAGGGGGAGATGGTTTCGTGAGAGAGGGAGAGTGACATTCTGTAGGTATGCAGATGTGGGTTTGTGTGATGAATAGTTTGGGTTTGGGGATTTGATAATTACGAGGAAAATGAAGACGCGAGGAATTCTACGCATTTAGTCTCATCGGTTTTTATTTGAGGTCTTTACTTCATATTGCGTGTTTGTTCAGTGTTTAGGTTTTAATGTGAACTTATATGGTAGATTCAAGACAGCAAACTAGGCCCACGACGCTCGGAGGGAATAAATAGTCTTTAGGATTTTCATAGGATAGTCTTTCAAGTAAGAAGTTGTCGTTACCAAATAACGTAGAATGATATTTAGGCTCACGATTTTTATGTCCCTTACTACTGTGCATCACTCGATATCTCTGTGATTTGGATCATAGGGAATCTAGATAATATCTGCGCTCGCATGATCTTGATTGTTGTTGTAGATGTTTGAGATTTGAGCCTCGCAGAAACACTATCTAACTTGATTCTTAAAATTACAATTCACCTTCTCCTATCGGAGATTGAGGAAGGTAAGAAAGGAAACTACACAACATCTGATTTGAGACCAATATAATCAATCGTCTATCCAAACAAATGGTTAATTCCAAGCTGTGAATAGACACCTCTCCTCTAACTACAAACCCAACAAACCCAACACTTTGAGACGCTCCTTCCTCACTTTGACTATCCCTTCAAGCCCGCGGATATTTCTCCAGATCCTGATGTAAGCTACACCGATCAGGGACATCATGCTTGCGCCATATCGCGGTATAGCCACGAAAAAGACATGGGAATCCACGTTCTGTAAGAGCAGTACAGTTAGTTGTCCCCTCATTTATAATTAATTCATCGCGAACTGCAGTTTTTGTTCTCATGAGTGCTTGAGTGTCAGATATACTTTTCTCCTTAGCTATCTTCAGGGCTCCGACATCATCATCCGCCGTTTCTGCAGCCGTCAGTGGCAATCCTAAAGCTTGACTAATTTCTTTTCCTCGACGGAGTCTCTCGGCGTTATATTCTCTCCAGAAATCTCTTTCTTCGCCAATGAGGGGATCTACATTGGGATCTTCTTCGGGATCAGGAATAATCATTCCTTCGTAGAAGGTTTCGGGGTCGATTCCCGCTTCCAACAATGCGTAATAACGATCGCTTCCCATCCACATGTGTGATAGTGGTTCGTAGAAATTGAGGAGATAATTGGGTGGTTCATCTTCGGAATCGCTTGGAGTCTCAGCACGCGCGCCTTCAGGTCCTGGGGGAGGTACAGCTGGGTCTCCAGGTGGACGAGAGCCGGGTGGAAGAGTTCTAGATGGTGGTAATGGAGGAGCTTCAGCAGCTGTAGTGACAGCAGGAAATTCACTCGTTGTCGTAACCGGAGGAGGTGTTGGTGAAGCTGATTGGTCAGTTTTAGGGTCTGGAGTCTCAACTTGACCCGAATCTTCAGAGAAAGGGCTGGGAATTTTCGGGTCAGGTGGAGGCCCGCTGGTTGTCGTGATTGGAAGAGGTGCTGGTGCTGTAGTAGCATGAGGCTTTTTTCCGAAAGCTGCGGGTACTTTTTGATCCAGATTAGAACCCGTATCTGGCATATATCGAGTGATTTCGTGCAACTGCGTCTCTACTATATCATTTTCTGAATACCCAAGTAGCAATATACTAATGCGATCCATTTCTCCCTGGTGCTCCTTGATCCATGTTCTAATGGCGGTCATTATCATTAATCCTGCTAGATCTTTTGGCATTGCAAAGATGCCCATCGAAATTCCTGGAAATGCAATGGATCTCAGCTTGTTTTCCATCGCAAGGTCTAGACTTTTCCGAAAAGCGGTCAACAAAAGTTTTCCATCTCGCTGATTTGCTATATTCCAATTCGGACCAATAGCATGGATAATATATCTGCAAGATCTAATATTCCAAGAATGTGTCGTTCCATAAGCTGCACCCACTTGTCCTGGATGCGGAAATAGCTCGTTCATTTCAGTTTGAAGTTCTGCACCAGCTGCGGCATGAATCGCCCCATCAATACCACTTCCCTTTTTCAACCTAACATTCGCAGCATTGACAATCACATCGACCGGATATTTTAACAAATCTCCTTCAAGGACCTCAACCCTGGTGCCTAAATACTCAGTGGTCGAAATGACCTTGTATTGACTTTGAAGACCAGCCATCTTGTAAGGGATTTGGCACAAATGTCTTATTATGAATCGTGCATGCGAGAAGTTTGAATAACAGGGTCCTTACTTTCCGCTTGAAACTGTATTAGATTGACTTCTTTCAAGGACGAGTTTATGAAAGTTCACGAAAGTTCACGAACAAGCATTGAAAGAAGACCGTTTGCGGTCCGAGCTAGGAATAAAGAAAGGAAACAGAAGTCATTATTGAGAAGAGAAAGAACAATACATGGATAGACACTAATTGCCACAAGTATAAAGAAACTGGGCGTTGTTCATTGAGTTCCTCCAAATTGTCGAACATACTTGTATCGTACTAGGTCAAGTGAGATTCCACGGTAGAATCACCGTCATGTAGATTACACTTGTAACATCAATCCTCATACAACTCTCGACGTCGAATAACAGTAATCGACCATATTATATATCAATTGAAGATCTCAGACTTGAGAGAACGATCTGATGAAAACAGTTCGCGGCGGAGAGGAGAATTGATATTGAGCACAGACCAATTATCCTCACAACACGGACATCAGGACTCCGGAAATAATTCCCCAAAGTCTTCTTATTCCCAGTCGATGTATTTTTTATATATTTTGGAGCTAAAATCAACGATGAACTTCGCAAATTTGCAAATTTTTAAGATATGCAACAAAAATATTTCAGGACCTCGAAGTCACGTGTACAATAGCCACACTTCAGCAGGAACTGAATTTGTTACTTGGCTTCGATCGATTTGATTGCATGGCAGATAAACCTTGGAACAACTCAATAAGGGACCACACTATCAGTGGCACTATCATGCAACCCAACTTACACAAGTATGCCAGACTGATAGCAGTACTTCAACTCTGATCGTTGAGGATGGTGTTAACATTGAAGATATATTTGGTATACCTATGCATGATATCAAACAACGGCTGGTGCCAAACCAATCTAGTGGATGAGCATCTCCTTGGGAGATAATCATTCACAAAGATGCTCTCGAACCTGAAGATTGGTGCCAATTGTCTATTCCACATTCCGACAACATCGTAACAATGATCATACATACACAATTTCTCCAAAAGTTATAAAGAGCATCAGAAAGTTGAATGTAGGTATGCAAGAATGTAGATTTCTATATCAAGCTCATAAATAAGTTCCACCCGGTACTATGCTAGAATTTTGAGTTCTTGATATTTAACGCGCTGCTCCAACACCCCAGTTCTCATTCTGCTCCTCGAAGGCCAAATGCTCGAAGTACCAATCTCTGCCGATACTAAAAATCTCTTTCTTCAGGAGAGCCACATTTAGTTCAAGCTCCTCAATCTCTACTTCCTCCTCTACCGCCACGTCTTCCCATAACCAGTTCAAAAACTTTTCTGCGTTCTGTCTCTCAGTACGCTCTCCCTTCTCTATAAGATATTGCCATCCCTGCTCCAACCTTCTCTCCCAAATTACTTCGTTTGCGAAATTTCTGGCAGCTATTACCTCCGGTCCCTCGATCTTATTGAGAATCAGTGGTGCGCAAGCCGGCATGGTGGTTTCAGAGGATCCTTCATTATCATCTCCAACCTTCGATGGCACAGGACTCAGCTGCGCATGCTCTGATTCGATGGCTCCAACCTCCCCGGTGAATGCGATCAAAGGAACGAGATCAACGTGCTCGGACTGTTCCTTGTGGGACTTCTTCCTGGACGATGGCATAGGCCATCCGCCTTCTTCTTGGTTCCCTTCGTCTGATGATTCAGAAGCGGTTTCTTCGGGGGCAACAGGAGAAGAGATTACGCACTCATCAGACTTGGAAACTTCTGGCGTATGCTCGACTTCCTTCTCGGACACAATTGGTAATTTCGCAGAGCTGTTCATCTGGAAAAGGCTCATGATCTCTGATCTGGCCTGTTGGAACATTTCAGGTGTCACCGGCGCCGATTTGAGGGTCTCGAGAAGTCTTGCGTTCTCTGGCGAAATGGAAGTGACATTCTTCGATGCTATTGGCATACGTGTAACGTTTCTGACTGGTCCCAGACTTTGCGATTCCCTCTCCTCAGTCTTTCCTGCCACCAATGACCATGACCTAGAGCATTGAAATTCTGATAACACGTCGCAGACCTGTCTAGGCAACAAAGGCGATGAAATAATATTTTTATCAACTCTGGAATCTCCCGAACTTTCGCCTGCAGTCTTCTTAATCCTCATTGGTATGGGTGCAGATACCATTGACGATTCTCTTAGGACAGAACCTTCGAGTGGCATCGTGGTGTTCACGGTCTGTTTAAGTGTTTTGCTTGTCGTAGCTGAAGGCGAAACTGGCAGCGACGGAAATTCTTTCAGCCTCGAACCTTCCAACGGAAGTGGGTTTCCCATCGGCTTGTTTGAAGCTCTACTCGCAGCGACCGAGGAAGGTGACGCTGAGAACATCGGTGTACCAACAACATTTCGTGGCGATGGCGCGTTGCTTATTTTTCGATCCAGTATAGCACTCTTTCTTGCAGCAGGAGAGGGGGCTGGGGCCGCAAAAACAGGAGCAATAAAACTGCTTCGCTGCGGCATATGAGCGGCCGGTCCAGCCTCTATGATCCCCATGGAAACTGGGCCCTTCAGCTTAAGCCAATACTTTGCATCATAGCAAAGAGGCGCAGCAGGTTTCCAGACAATGCCTTCACCAAGGCCAATGAGGCCAAAAGTCTTCGCAAAAGGACACTCTTTCTCCACCTCATCGGCTAGAGCTTGCATCTTTGCGAATGCTGGGTCCGGATTCTTCAGTTCGATGGTTTCGTGGTAGAATCCTCCCCGAGAAATGTTTACAATATTAATAGACTCGTTTTCGATGTCTGAATATGGTTCATCCGGCTGCCATTCGTTGTTGATGGAAACAGAAATGATGACGAAATATCGCTCTGGCAGTGCACTGACTGCGACGTCTTTCTGGATCTTTGGGCCGATCCACTCCCCAGCGATGATAAGGGGATGTTCATCGTTGATCTTGACTTTGGGATTCAGCTTCTGGAAACGAGCATGGAACTGCTTTTTTAGGGCAAGGATTTCCGCTCGAGCTGGTTGAATGAAATCAAGGAATTTCAAGCTGTCGAGAGCTGGTGTCAGAACATCCGAATTTCGAGTCTGTATGTAAATAGTGTCTTCTGCTGTGATGCGAATATCTCCATGAGTTCCATGAAGTTTTACTGTTCCGGTGACAGAAATGCTCCCAGTACGTCGAGCCTTTGAGGTTCTCTGGTATTTTGAGAATTCCACGAGTAAGTTTTTGGGCTTACCAGAGATTTTGGGATAGAGGGTATCCTTCTTGGAAGCCATGATGTCGCATGTGGTATGGTTAAAGATAGGTGTCAAGAACTCGAAGTTTGAATCCGAGATTAAGATGCTATCGAGTTGAGGAACTTGGGAGTTGCTGTATGAAAATTGCTGTAGAGGAGAGGGAATATTTTCGAATGTGGAGTCTTAACGACTGTATATAAGGATAAAAGATCGAGGGGGTGAATCAAGTTCCCAAGATGGAAAGAAGTTGATTGTGGGGAAGGAGCGCTAACGGTTGATGCAGATGAATTGCGGGATGAGTTGATGACTTTAAAATCGAATATGAAATTGCTTGTTGTACCACAATTACAGTAAATAATCAACCAATTTACTACATGACTGACTCCTCAAAGCCACAAATGAGCTATTAACCTCATAAAATTCACCCATTATGTGAGATTATGCTTTTCCGACCTGCTTGCACCACAACAAAAGTGAATATAGGATATTACCACCCACGCCTTCGACCCCCCGAACGCCAGAAATTAGCAAAAGATCTCATGATATTCACCGATCATGATGGAAGTTCCGCAATCTCTGGCTGCCTTTGTTCAGTATCAGGCGCCTCCGCAATCCCGCTCCTTTGATTCGACTCCACATTCCCCAAACTCCAAGTCGACTGTTGGCTACTCATCAACATACCCATCGGCGCATCATTAGGGATAATGACAATCCTGAACCTTCTCTGTTCCTTCTTCTTCAAATTCTTCTCCTTCCTACTAGACTTTTTGTTCGCCTCTTCCTCCTCATCCTCTCCAGTGACCTCGCCCTTAACCGAGGGTAGTTCCAACCACGCTTGAAAGCCCTTACCTCTAAACGACTGATCATTCCATTTATGGAGCGTAGCTCTCAAACTCCCTTCATGCATTAATCCATCTTTGACTTTTTCAACTACTTTCTTTCTGTGAACCGATCTTCCGGTATAATACCCTGCAACAGGACCACCGAAGACGAGGAGTCCGGTACTTAATACACCGGTAGAAATACCGGCGGTCCATGCTGCCCAGTCCTCCTGTATAGTGAGACTAGCTGCTTTGACAATTTCGTGCGTGAAGAGATGCCATTCATCATGAGAAACACGGTAATCGTAGAGACGTTGATGGAAAGGAAAGCCGGAGGCCAAAGAATCTGTTTTGGTGGGAATGACGAGTTTGGAGATTGGAAACGAGGGGGTAGAGGTGAGTGTTTGGTTGATGGACATGTTGTCCTGGTAATCTACTTCTTGGGAATAGGGATCCATCAGATACGGTGGTGCTTGGGTTGGGTCGTAGTCTGGGGATTTACTTTGTGTATGTTAGTTTAGATCTTTTAATCATGAGAACTGGGAGACTTACTATGCCATAGATGGCTTCTCATCTAAATCTGGAGAGGCAACCATTTTTCTCTTGACCTCACTACCCAATAGTCCTTCGGGAACTTTGGTATCAAAGCTCATTTTCGCCAGATGTTGGTATGCAACTAGGGAAAGAATACAAGTCACAGGAAAATTCTAAACAAGTGTAGATGAATCAAAGAATCAAAACCCAAAAACATACGAAGAACTCTATCTAAGTACTATGCGTGCATCAATAAATATACAAAAAAGTAAAATGAACAAAGTCTACTCCAAAAAGTATATTTGTAGTCCAACCCGAAGCTATACTCACAGGATCCACATTGCTCACGTACTCGTACAGCACAGACATCTATCAACTGCAAAAGATCACCCCAATCCCAGCAACATCACCGCCGTTTTGAAATTCAACCCCATCTATGTTTGAGGATGTGAAATACGAACGGGCCAATCAATCTACAAGCACTAACTTAGATAAGTATTTTGTGGAGATTGATGATCGGAAGGATTCAGATCTTTGAAAAGTCCGACCTCGTAAGTTCAGCAGCCCAACTTTGCTGAGAATTAACCTTATATATTTGAGGCTTGTGTAGAAAAGAGGTTCGAGAAGGCTTGCACTAGCACCTCATTCCTTCAAACTCCCCAATAAAAATGGGATCGTCTGAGACGACTATTTAAATCAAGTCGCTGCCTTACAATCCCTGAAAAGGTTATGATTGTCGTTGAAATAAGCAAGGAAGTCAAGATAACAACTTTATGGCCGCTTCTACGCACGTAAATATCGGTCACTGTGCAGATTTTACTGTCTTTTGGATATTGGTAAGATGTGGCATCTAGCACTCCCTAATATGTCCGGCGAAAACCCATATTCATCGTGGCGTTTCCTTAGATCCGCTGTGCGGCTGAACCTCCAAGGGCCTGTTATATCGATCTGGAGATGAGGATTTGAATCATGTGTGCATTTTTCATGATTTGCAGGCGTTAAGGCGTCAAACAATTCCATGCGGACGAACGAGACATTTCACTTCGTCCATAACGGAAGTTCTTTGACTTTGACTCTTTTATATTTCCTGTTTTGAAATGCTTATGAAGATTCCATTCACATAGTATGAGCATTCAATAAATTCCCTCGCGAGTAACCGGCAATTCAATACTAAGCAAGAGAACTCTAGAGAGTAGTATACAAAGATACCTGATGTAAGAATATGTACGATCTACTGGAAGGAATGTGCGTCTTATATATCCGAGCAATAGCGAGACATATCATAACAATTATAGGATAAAGCAGACTAATTTGATTACGTCCCTGATTTGTTGAGTCATGACGAGTGAAACAGTATGATGGGAGAACTCCCCCCAAACAAACTCTTCTCTGTAGCAAATTAGTTGATGAAGCATCAAGAAGGAAATGTGACAAATACTCATTCAATTATGTTTGGAGGGAATTTGCTGGCGGTGAGACCCTGATTTGATAAAGAGTCGAGATTTCAATAAGTAGAAAATTGCTCGGTTTGACCGACACCAAGCTCTTCTTTTGAGTTCGTAGACACAGTTTGGGATTTTGATATATGCTGATGTTAGAAAGCTAGTGTCTTAAGGGAGCAATTTCCTGGGAAGATTACCTAAGTACCCTTTTATGCAAAATTACGATGCTGCTATACAGAGAAGTATCCATGGACTCCAAAGCACTGAAAATCTACAAAACTATGAGATTATCCCAGTCATTAGAACTACTCCCAACGTTCATGGATATTCCAACTGGTTTAAGGTTTTCAATAGCGTAAAGTAGGGACCCTGTCAGAAATTCTTGTCATAGTTCCATCGCACCATCTAGAATCCCCAATTGTGCTGTAAGTTTCAAGCAATTATTAACAGTCATCTTCTGCATCGCATCAATACCACATGCTTCACTAATCGCTGGTCTCAATAAAATTTTGCTTCCCAAGTACTAATCTCTTTGACGTCTTGTTCGTGGCGACCAATGAGTCTCTGCATGACAAAGGCCCTTCCAGAGATATTGCCATCTATTCGGACATTTGGACGTTTAGTTCAACGAAACCGACTGGATGATTCTCTGTATTTTCGATCCACATATTCATGACTTCCGTGTGGTCCTCCTGTGGTCGAAGCCAAGTCCATCTTCCAATAAGAGCCATACCCGGACACTCATCACAATTTAACTGAACATAAGTATCAATCCCCGGTGAATGACTGCCGGCATGTTACCCTCGTAAGAAAGTGCCTTTAATATATCCTGGTCCATATCGTGTTGAGTGGTGGAGGCCTTCGAATCTGAGCTCGTTCTGTCTGTGAAACAATCTCTGAGCTTCATGTCTGATTTGTTGCAGGTTGAAGTAAACTTAAAAGACCTCAACCAGAACCTTTAGTACTCCCTGCGCATAGTAATTACTTCGTGCAGTGGTCTCTCAAGATAGGGATGTCCTATAGGGTAAAAGGAGCTAGACGCTTGTCGCTCGTGAAGCCGACGATTGCTTCATACACCATACCACGAAGCTCGGACGCAAGGTCAAGCAAGGAAAAGGGATTTCCTGAGGCTTGGAGAAGTTTGGCCATAAAGAATCATTCATTATTGATAACCTCCGATGTACCGAATTTCAGGGGATTGACAGCTGGTTAAACAATAAAGTTTGGACCGAATTGGGGTAATTTAAGATCAAATTTGGATTGAAGTGGGTGAACAGGAGGAGCAAAGGAAAGTTTAACAGAGTTTGTATTTACCGATTGAGAATGGAAGAGAGCAGGTAAACTGCATTGACATATTGAATTGGGAGTAAAAAGTGTAGTTCAGATCCAAATAAGATCTTGTTTGTGTTTACATTAATTAGTTGGAAACCGTCTGATCTCAAATATGACAGAACTAATAAAGTCTGGCAGGAGCGAGGTAATGGCGATTAACAATCTAACCCGATTAGATCCACATTAGCCTTGTCAGAAATGCACAACCCCCATCATCCTTGTCGAAATAAACTGACAACTGCCCAAAACGCACCCTCGTAGAATTGAACAGTCGTTCTTCCAGATTCTCCAAGACAATTGATTTCGAGATCCTGAAATCTGCCTGATTCGATATCTGCAACAAACTCTTTACTTTTCCCAAGTTTGGGAATTTTGATTTTGGATAGACTGGCTACAAAACTTTTGGAGTGTGGTGTTGGCAAATCTGGCACACACTCAATAACCAATTCTAACATCAACGGCGACATGTTACCTCCTGTCGAAGAGTCCATTCTTCAGAGTAACCCTAAGTTTGCAGATTTGTACAAAAAGCTTTCAACCAATATTTTAAATCCTAATGGTTCTACTAAAAATCATCCTGCTCAGAAAGAGCGGGATGCAATCTCTGGGGTAGCTTTTCCCCTCACTCTACTATTTTCTATAGTTACTAACATACACTCCTAGGCACTAAAAACTTCCAGAATAGAAGCCGCGAAATCGCAGATCCTATTATCTTCCCTATCGTCTCTAGATCTCTCACCACCGCCTCCCATCCCCGCGAAACCTCGAACCCGAACTTCTCAGCCCGCACCCCCAAGAAAGGCTGCCGAATTACCAGATGAACTCGTTGAGCTGGTTATTCTTCTCACGGCAAAGCTCTCTCTTCCTTCAAGCTCCCTCTCCAAACGCGATATTATTCTCTTAGAATCCACACCGACATACCACTCCCTCCCAACCCACCTTCCGCAACTGAGCGCCCTCCTCAGCACCAACCTCCACAACACCGCCCTCTCCCTTTCGCGAATCCTATCCCCGACAACAAACGCCTCTTTCCTGCACCGCCAAATTCCCAATCTCCTCCCCAGCGTCCTAACTCTGCAATCGACTCTACTCACGCAATCCCATTCTCTCGCTCTCGCCCGCACAACCCTGACCAATACCACCACGCAGCTTCTAACTTCATACCACCGCGCTACAGCCCTCATAATTCAGCTCCTTGAGCGTTCGAAACATGGCCCCATTACCCGACACACTATTTCCAAGATCTCTCTCCTCTCCCTCCAATCTCAGACTATTTCTCACGAACTGCAACTCAAGTATGTACAAGGAGAAAAAATCATCTACGACGAACGAACAACCGAAGCTTTACAAAATTATATGCGGGAATTGCGTGGGGGCAGAGAGAGGTTGAAGGAGAGGGGCAAATTGAAAGAGAGAGATTTATGGGGGTATGGGGTAGGAAGGGAGGACGAGAGGAAGGAGAGACAGATGAGGGAGATTGCGAGGGTATATGGGGAACTCAGGGAGGAGCTGCAGGAGGTGAAAAGGGATGTGGAGAGGTTGAGAGGAAGTTGATTGCGTGGATCAGTGATAGAGAAAGAGAAGGATAGGATGATTTACGATTTTACGATTTTGATGATCAGACGGAAAGATGTGATGAACTTATGGCTTAAATAAATCAGATGATAGTTGGTGTTGTATTGAGAGAGCTGAAAGATACGATATTTCTATTGGGGATGCAATTCTTGGGAATTCTGTGATAAATTCAATTACGTTCGATAACAATTCAGAAAGGCGGAACAATTTATGGAGGGAAGATTTTTTATTCACTTCAATGGTATATGTTGCATCTATCTATTCTTCTGGACTAAGCTCTAGAATCCCAAGGATATTTTCTACCACTCCGTGCTATATTAGATTTTGGGATTAAAATTATATAACCGATCTATGGCTTGACAGCATGGATGGCAGCAGCCAATCTCTTGACGTTTGCTGAGGTGATACCTGCAACAGAAATTCTACCATCCTTGGTAGCATATACGGAATGCTAAGTTTATGATTAGCGCCACCTCTACGACATCAGTCCGGAACAAAACTTACTTCAGTAGCCAATTTATCCATTTGCTCAGGGGTCAAACCAGTGTATGCGAACATGCCAATTTGGCTAGTGATGTGAGACCAGTCGTGCTTTGAGCCCAAGTTCTCGAGTTCCTTCTTCAATAAAGCTCTCATGGTGATGATACGATCAGCCATTCCCTTGACCTCAGCAAGCCATTGCTTGTTCAAGGCCTTGTCGTTGAGAATGGTAGAAGCAATACGGGCACCGTGAACGGGAGGGTTGGAGTAAAGAGGGCGGACAAGAATCTTGATTTGTGAATCAACACGCTTCTTCTCGGCGGCATCGGCGCAGACAATGGAGAATGCACCAACACGCTCACCGTACAATCCCATGTTCTTGGCGAAAGATTGGGCGAGACATGGGTTGTGACCTTGCTCAATGAAGTGACGGATGGGGAAAGCGTCCTTGTCGGTATCACCAGAGGCGAATCCTTGATAGGCCATGTCGAAGAAAGCATAGTGTCCACCAGCCTTGACAGCATCGCTAATCTCCTTCCATTGCTCGACAGTTGGGTCAACACCAGTGGGGTTGTGCGCACATGCGTGGAGCAAGAAAGCGCTTCCCTTTGGTGCAGCCTTGATGTCTGCAATCATGCCCTCAAAATCGAGGCCGATTGTGTCCTTGTTATAGTATCTATATTTCTCAACCTCGAGACCTGAGTCCTTGAATACTGCAGCGTGGTTTGCCCACGATGGAGTTGGGATGTAGATCTTCTTTGCGCCGGGGTAGAATCGTTGGAGGAAAGCACCTCCAATTCGGAGAGCTCCAGTTCCAGAGATGGATTGTGTAATGACTAAACGATCAAGGGCACTCGATCCCTCACCGTATGCAAGAACGGCAGCTGCCTTGGTGAAATCTGGAACACCAGTAATACCCGCATATTCTTTGTTGAGCTTTGCTTGTACGACCTTGTCTTCTGCGGTTCGGACGGATGGAAGGACGTAAGGTTGGCCTGCATCATCTCTGTATGCGCCGACACCTAGAATAAAGTTAGTGATGTTAAATTGAAAGCAGTTTGGTGTTGCAAACCTAAGTTGATCTTCTCCTTGAAACTATCTGCCTTGAAGGCCTCAGTAATACCTGTATTTTTGTTAGATTTTCAAATCAAACAAATGATCCCATTGTTGACTCATACCTAAAATGGCCTGTCACAAACGATCGCACAATTAGAAAGCTACCCCTCTACCGAATTAGAAGAGTCAACAACTTACATCCTGTATTGAATTAGCCTAAAAGTGTCTAAAGTAGTGCCATTGACAAGAAATACGTACTGGAGGACCTTGAGGAACATCTGCCCATGTGGAAGCTTGTCGGATGGCAATGCTACTTCTAGAAGCAACACCACGGGTAATAGCTTGCCTGCTGGCTAATCTGAAGGGAGAAAGCATCTTGAAGGTTGACAATTGGGAAAAATGATGTTTGGTTAAAAGATGGAATATTAATTCAATTAAATGAATCTGACAGCAAGGTTGCTTGAAGAAACAGGCGAGGCCAAGCAAATACTTTCGTCTTGAGAACAGCTGCCCCAGAAACTACCCACAAGCTTCCGATTGGCGTGTGCATGGGTGTCTGGGGATTGAGCGGGCTGGCATAAGTTCGGATTGTCTTGTAATTGAAGATGCGCACGAATAAGAATAAAATTTGAGGATATAATTTATTGGCAATGGACGGTAATGTACTCAGGCCCATATTTTCGCACTTTCATATGCATTTATATCACTGTTACATACAGCTTTTGAGGGAATATTTTGCATTCACAGATAACTTCTGTAGAGGCAGTCAAGACATTGATCCACCAAAACATGATGTGATATCGGAAAGATTCGTTATCGAATTGGTCACAGCGTCGAGACAAATTAAACGGTGCTGACTGTGATTGCCCAAAATTCAAACCCCTCCTTCAACGGCCTCAGATTGAGAAGCAACCGAGAGATCGACAGCGACAGTTGATGATAGTCCAGTTTGGACATAAGAGCTCTGAATTTCTTACGATGAAAGATTCTAAGAAAGCAGTGGTACTTGGCATTAGTGGATGTTCATCTAGTGGTAAGACAACACTTAGTCGACTTCTCCGTGATATCTTTCCACATACTTTCGTTCTTCACGAAGATGACTTTTATAGACCCGAAGAAGAGTGAGTTTGGATTTTTGATTGCATTGCTTTTGATTTGTATCCTGTTTTGCAACCTAGTGTCTGATTTGCGAAGTACTTTTCAATGTACCCCCTACTAATAATAAGTAGACTCCCTAAGAAGCATGATCTTGTAGACTGGGATTGCGCGGAAGCTTTGGATATACCAGAAATGGTCAAGTCTCTTGAGCATATACGCAAAGAAGGCACATTTCCTGTCAGTCATTATTCTTATCTGTGTTTTGGTAGTTGCAAATCTTGCAGAACGCGTCCTCATTCTTCATAGCCTAATCTGGATTCCAAAGAAGACAAAAATTCTATTGGAGAATGCCCCGTGTCAGATGAAGATATCGAAGCACTAAAATCTGAAGTGAAGGCATGGACTCAACCTGGACAGCCAGGACATGGAATCTTATCAAACACAGATTCTCCCATTCGTCTTTGCATATTTGATGGGTTCCTTCTCTATTCCAAATCCCTGGCCGCACTTCAATCCCAGATCGATTTAAAACTCTTTCTACGTGTCAGTTATGAGAAGGCAAAAGGTCGAAGGGAAGCTCGTAGTGGCTATGTAACTCTCGAGGGATTCTGGGAGGATCCACCAGGATACGTTGATAAGATTGTCTGGCCGAATTATGTTGAGGATCACAAATGGATGTTCGAAGGTGATGATGTTGAGGGGAAATTAAAAGAAGATGTTGTTAGTGAGCTGGGTCTGAAATGCCAGGGTGGAGGTCTAGACATTGATATGACCACGACTCTTAGGTGGGCCGTGGCTACACTTATGGAGTCTTTGCCTTCATTTGCAAAGGGAAACTGAACAACCGGGAGGTAGTCAATTGAGGTCATTGTAGGTTGAATAGCGATGTGATCAGCTTGTGCATGTTTGGATATCTTCCATGGACCTGAGCCAGAACGCTCAATTCGACCTAGTGGGGCTATCATTTCGTTGGTCTCCTCTAACAAGGGATGGCCGAAGAAAGAAAAACTCGATGCGACAAAGGAGATAGAGAACAGTTACAAATGTCTGAATATTTCTTTGACACATAACAAAGAATACGCTAGCACTGAGAATCAACGCATTGTTTTAATCATCGACTCCGCTGTGAACATGATACAAATTTTGAGTATAAAACTCTATTCCCCCTTCTTGATATATCTTTTCCTTCTAAATTCAAATCACAACATTCAAATTTTTACAACAATAACGCCTGCATCAATATGTCAAACTATATAGAAGCAACAATGCAAGACCCGCAGACCCGAGAGGTTAACGAGCTTGCCGCTCGACTCAAGCGTATGAACATCGAAGACACTTTTCAACCAAACCGAAAACGTAAGTATGAGAGGTGCACCGCTCGTGAGCAAGTTCTGTCTCACAAGCGCCGACAATGTAACGACGGTGCTCAAGTGAGCCAAGTTACGGCCTGGTACTCGTTTACCGAACGATTAAATCTCTCAGGGCGCTTTTTCTACAAGTTCTATCTCTCTAGTGGGAGAGGCGAGTGCGAGTAAAGGTAAGTTAGTCATTTCATAATAAAAACACCTTTACACATCCCTTTAATCCAAATATAATTTCATCCATACCTCCTAGTGATCCTTAATCCACCTGAGCCCAATGTAGATATAATTCGTCCTTCCCAAGAAAGACAATGACGCTCTGCTACTTTCGAGAACCCCATGACAACTAAGTCTTACACATTGGCCATCTCATATTACGCCCCGATGTTCTCTGTCCGAATTCAGATTATATTACTACTTGCTATTCTTCCTAAATGCCAATTATTTTGCTTGTGTACCATTACATGCAAAATTTATACTTGTCATACCTAATGTAGACAAGTAGACACATCAGAAGGCGCTCGCTTCATCCAGATGTCTCAATACATCATAATACACAAATCACTCGAAGAAAAATTGTATTGCACAAACTTCCAAGATCGATTTTCATAGTGAAAAGTAAATATCTAATCTCAAAATCGAGCATACGGAGGAGCTTCCTATTCAACCCATACTTCCCAAACACATGCCGGCACATTACAACCACCAATGAACGGTGTATTCGGTTTCTTTGGTGTTATATTGGAGAGGATTGTAGAATGGTTTGGGTGTAATGAGAATTGAAACAGAGACTACCTACACTTTACTTAATGTTTTGAATGATTTTTAACTCCGAGGTTCATTGTAGAAGATATGATATGCGAAGTTCACAGATGTATTGATATATGAATGTACTATGCAATGATGCATTCTCGAAACTACCAAGGGATGCATAGATAAGCCGTCTTCTACTGTTGGAGGTTGGATAGTAACGAACCATATACATGATCTTTGTGATTGACGCAGAGAACAGAAAGCTTGTACTGCCAGAGTGTTTATCTAACTAAGATAAAAAGGGGATACGCGAACTCGAATCGGACTTACAAACCCGAAAGGCTGTGCACTAATAATTACCTAGGTACAAATACTGAATTTCGGGTACCTGTCGTCACTATTTTACCATGTTTTGTAAGCAGGAATTTTAGCTACCCCGCTATCGTCATTGGGCGGCCCCACCAGATCACAATATAAACATCAAAATGCCCCTTTGGCATTGATCTTCCCCCAAGACAATTTCGTTCTCATCTCAGAATATATCCCCTGCTGTTTTCTGCAATAATATAGATAGCACAATGCCTGAAACTATGCGAGCAGTGGGTATGTAGTTTTTTATTCAATGCATTGGAAACTCAAGCTCGTGTTCTTGGCGCTCCCACCAGCTACACGCAACTGCACACCAAGGAAAGCAATATTGGCTAACATAACTCACCAGATATCAAAGATGGCAAAGGCCATGCCGATGCCCTTTTCATTAATGATTCAACGCCCAAGCCTACCGCTCAATCGGGCGAAGCTATCGTCAAAGTCAAAGCTTTCGGTCTTAACCGCATGGATCTTCTCCAACGTGAAGGCCTCTATCCTGTTCCACCACAAGCTCCCAAAACTCTCGGTGTGGAGTTTTCTGGTACGATTGAAAGTTTAGGCACAGATATTAAAGATGGCTTTAGTGTTGGAGATGAGGTTTTTGGTTTGGCGTATGGAGGTGCATATGCGGAGTACCTTGCTGTGAGCACGCACATGCTATTGAAGAAACCGGATCATTTGAGCTGGGAAGAGGCAGCTGGTATTCCTGAGGTATGTTATTACCCACTATACCTATACCCCTCTAGATGTCATTCATGGATTGAGTTAACATAAACGAAATAGACATGGATAACAGCTACTCAAGCTATGTATCTCGTCGGCGAATTCTCCCAAGGGAAGTCCATTCTCTGGCACGCAGGCGCATCGTCCGTCTCAATCGCCGGCATTCAACTCGCAAAGAACTCCGGTGCATCAGCTATCTATGTAACAGCAGGATCACAAGAAAAGATCGATTTCTGTGTCAATACGTTAGGAGCAACAGCAGGCTTCAACTACAAAACACAAGATTGGGCCAAGGAGATTACCGCTGCTACAGATGGCAAGGGTGTTGATATTATTGTTGATTTCGTAGGAGCAAACTACTTCCAGGGAGATCTGGATGTAGCAGCAAAAGATGCGAGAGTTGTGCTTTTGGGAGTGATGAGTGGGACGAAATTACCAAGTGGTGTTGATATGGGTGCGTTCATATTCAAGAGAGTTAGATTTGAAGGAAGTACGTTGAGGAGTAGAGATGTGGATTATCAGGGCAAATTGAGAGATAAGTTGGAAGAATACCTTCCTAAATTTGAGGATGGTACATTCAAGATTTTTGTGGACAAAGTTTTCCCTTGGGAAAAGGTGGTTGAGGCCCATAAGGAAATGGAGAAAAACACTAGTAAGGGGAAGATCATCTGTACAATTTCTTAGAGGGATGAGACGCAGTGTATACTAGCGCTCTAGATGTTGAGGTTGAGCGATCAAAAGCATATTTCATGTACGATTAGTTTTGGGGGTGGAGATGTCATCGGCGTATCATAAATAGACTTGCAGAATCATCTGATTATAAGCCCATGGTGTATCTTTTGCACCGGTAGATCCTTCCTTTTCTTTGAAAACCAATATATACAACCATTAATCATAAAACTAAGCGTCCTTCCCTCTCTCAATTCACATTACATTCCCGACTCCCGAAGCCTCAGACCCTAATATTTACCCCATCCCCACAACATCATAATCACCCCTCCCCCATCTATAACAATACTCGCGCATAACGCAGGCCCAAAAGCCACAGTCCCGAAATATAACCATTCCACTCCCCAAAAGCCTGTTATCACCACATAAGCCCATAAAGTAAGGAAATACAGTTCAGGAGAGGAAAGATTGTAAGCGGTAATCAAACGAAGCATACCACTCACAAGAGTGTAGCAGCCGAAGGTGCGGGCAAAGAGGGCGGTTGCTTCATGAGAAGATGGAGGGGAGGTTTTAGGGGAAGTGGAAGTGGAAGATGGGATGGTGGAGTGTGGACCAAAAAAGAGTTTTCGGGTGGCAGGGAGGGAGAAAAAACATTGGGCGGAGTTGTAGAAACTGATGATGGCGTTCTGTGGGTGTTAGTTGGGGAGAGTGGATAGGGTGGTAGAATTGTTGGTCCTGCTTTGAAGGATTTTTGGACTTCAGAGTTGGGTCATAGAGTCGAAAAGAAAGACTCACGAAGAGTAGCCAGTATGGTAAAATACCTTGATCTTGTGGAAGACAGAAAGCCATGATATTTTTCATTGTGATATTAACAAACAGATAGATTGGGCTGGGTCATTCAGTTTCGTGGCGCGATCTGTAGCAGTAAGGACGTTGATGGGACAAAAGACACGGTATATAATCAAGGCTTGTTCTTGGGTGTATGTGAATTATGAGTTGATATTTGCATCCAGAGGGACAATTTGTCTTCGTTGTTGCAACAGCCAGCTGGTCTCACTCAGCAAATGACAATACAAGGGTTGCTCTTGTCGGGTAAGCTCAGCACCATACTTGGAGTTTGTGGGGGTTTTGAGAAATCATGTAACTCAACTGAGGAGAAAATCTCGCGATGCAAACACGATGCAGAACATGGAGTACATCCGAGCAATCCTACCCCTTCCACGCAAGATCGGATCTCTGTCGGCTAAACCTCGGATCGGATTTGTCTCAACGACGCAGGGTTAAAATCTGTTTTCTTTGACCTCACTCCTTATTCAGTCTGTACGGGATCTCACACGCAACATTCAACGAACAGGTTGTTATGAAAATCATGCATTTTGCTTAAGCTATAAACCATCGCAATTGTGATACCAACGCTTTCTGAAAATCAGCTAGAATGCTGACGTCTTCCGACGGTTCGACTTTGGCTCCCACGACCTCCACCAACATCCCATCCACCATCCATTCCGAGAACTGGCTACGTTTATGTATCGCCGAATGTAATAAAACCCGTAATAGAGCTAATTGTCGGATGAGACACTGCTGTCAAGCCATACTTCCGCCGGTGCCCATACACGTTGCTGGTCGTAATCCTTAGCATCATCTGTTCCGAAGACGATCAAGCATGGATGCACGATTATGCTAATAGGTTTTCCATACAGCAAACTCTCGTGCTTTTCGTAATCAACCGAAGAATGCGCAACCATATATTTATTATTTGGTTCAAAAGTTGGATGATCCAAGTTGCTCAAAGTAGTGCACGACAAAAGTGTTCTTCTTGACCACAGCTTGTACGACATAGTGGCTGCCTCTCGATAGATAGCTTTGAGTTTGTCCCCAGCGTCGGCTCGAGCTTCATCGCTGACAAGATACTGCGCTGCGCCTTTGAGGAACTTCGAGGCTTGTTCGTCTGCTTCATCGAGTATCATTTGCTCAGTGCGATGATGTAAATCCATTTCCGTTCCTGAAGCACTTTCTGCTGGGGGTAAGAGTAGTCGCAAAGTTTGGGATCGCCAGGTACTGGCATCTCCTTTGTTTGCTATTAAGGAAGTCAGTCTAAGTGTTTTCGACTGACTGTTGGGTTTACTTACAGTGCAGGCCAGCTCTATAGACAGACCTCAGGTTTGAGTATAGGACGCTTTCTCCCCCAAGAAAGAAGAATGGTTCTCGAAATAATGTTGTATAAACATTATGAGAGGCGAGAGCAGTCAGAAGTAGTGCTGGAATCTTTTTTGGAGACAATCCTTGAGGAAGTTCATTATTTTTAAAGACAACCACATCTTTCAGGACATCAGTTAGAGCCTTTCGTTCGTGTACGTCAAGCACCCCCAGGATAGTAGGCATATCAATTTTCGAATGTTTTTTCGCCCAGCTTCTTATGTCTCTTTTGAGTCTATCAAACTCTTCAATAACTTTACTGTCTTCAAGGGGCGCCCAACGCGAGCTATTCATCTGTCGGAATGTTGTTTCCTGTTGTTTCCGAATGAAATCTCGGTGCTGTTCTTCTATGTCCTGTTTTTCGCACTCAAGTTGTCCGTTTCTTGCTCGTAATGTGCGTGCGATTTGCTCCTTGTCTTGGACCTGAAGTTCAAGGATCTTTACATAGTCTTCGAGCTTTCTCCTCTCAGCCTCGTGTTTTTTATCATTTTTTTGAAGCTGTTGAATATAGTCTTCCTTCAGCGAAGCGAATTGGTTTTGTGCTCTCATGCTCGGTACATTTTCCACTGTATGCCCGGCTGATTGACGCGGCCGAGAAGAGTTGTCTCCATAGCTAGAAATATTATGTCGTTCATGTGGACGTCTCTCTATAGATGCTGGTAGAGAATGTTCAGTATTGTAGCCTGGCACAATCATACGAAAAGCCTTTGTAATCGTAGAAAGCGGATTCTCTATGGAAACAGGGTGGTATTAGTGAGATTCCCAATATGTATGGGAATATCTACCTTCTTCTATGTATCGCTCGGTTCTCTTTGCCTTTTTCTCCGCCTTTCGGATTGATATCAAATCTTCTTTGTACTCAGATTCTTCGGTGTCGGAACCTCGAGAAAATTGCCTACTCTTTGTTGAGCCTTCTTGCGCCATCGAATGTGGATTAACTTCTAGCTCTCTTTTACCTGCTGCAGTTGATGATGGCCTCGGAAGGGGTGGTTCTTGCTGCATTGTCATTCGATTTTGCTTTGGAAGGGGAGCTTGCCTGTCTTTTCCGGGAGTCCAGAAACCATGCCCCTGTGATAGCAGAATCAATACTACAGACGAAAAGAAATTCAATTAAATTCCCATACAAATTTCTATTACGTAAATTACGATATTACAGTTCTACTCACCAATAACAAATAGCCCGGTTTATTACTCACAGAAAAAATCTACAATTTTTGTAACCCATTTATTATTGAATTCTAAGAGAGAAAAATGGAAATATAGAGTTCTAAGGGAACTTGTAACTTTCAGAATCTTCGAATATTAGAGTTTTGCATTGGTAAACAAAGGAGAATAAGAGTAGTAGTTGAGAGGAGGTTAAAGAAGCTAGCCGAAAGTTTAAAGGGGACTAAATTGTTGTTGGTTTGAGAAGAGTACAGGTGACGTAGTACCTATAATGGTAGGTCCTAATTGTCAACATTATATTCTGTCTAAAGAGCTAGCTATGTACAAGAAATGGAAGGCCTTAAATGAAGGCTACTGAAAGAGCTAGTCTCTTTCGCATTCGCTTAGGTGATACGGCGGTCGTTGAATTGAAGTCATTCACCTACGTTCACACAATTATTCCATGAGTTACAAAACTATCAATGTTCTTTAATAACGAGCTTTACTATTATATTATACAAAGCAGAATGTATGAATAGAGAAAGTGTAAGGATATAATATATGTACTTATAGGTTCCGATTAGTAATCGAATTCGAAAACTTTTTAATAAGCTTTCAAAAATCAAGAAAATCAAGAAAATCACTAGAACTCTATTGACTAAAATAAGCTTCGTCAGATACGAAGATAAGTTTACTCCTATCAATATCTTAAAAAAGTTGTTTTCAATATGATGAAAGTATTGTAGAATTTATGGCAATTACGGAAGGATCCCTTCGTAAGGTACGGAATCTGCCACCACAGAGATACTTAGTCTTACCTCGATAGCTTTGGATAAAACATGGTAAGAGTGCAGAATGTGAGGAGGCAAAGACGAAGGTGAGATCGAGCAGAGACGTGACTGAAGTGAATATTGATTAAAACGCTCCAATCGACAACTGATAGCTCCATCATATATCACTGACTCTCTCGACATTCTGGCGTCTGAACTAGCTTAGCACGTACTTTTTTACTCCAGGCTAGTAAGCAAAAGCGGGGTGTCTGTGATATCACAATAACCTCTCTCTTTCATTTTCTCTCAATTTCAAAGATACAACAACCTGTTGACAACGCCAAAATTTCACCAGAAATCTCTTCAATCTAGTCTATTACCACAGTAACCACAATCGCCATGAGCAATCGTAAACCCCCGCAAAAGACTATGAGTTCTCTTACTTCAAAAGGAAGTGGCCATAAAATCGTCATTGGAATTGATTATGGTACAACATATTCAGGCATGAAAATCAAACCTCACACTATTCTCCTCTGACATCGCGACAGGAGTCAGTTATATAACCACAGATAAAGCTGGCCTAGAGAATATTATCATTATGTCTCCATGGCCTGGAGATCCTCATGTATCCTGGAAGACTCCAACAAGAATTGCGTATAACAATGAGAATCCAAAGATCAAAAACAACAAGTGGGGATTTGAGGTTACCCCGAAGATGAAGTCTTACTCATGGACTAAACTTTTACTTGATAAGAACGCTGCTGTTATGGAGCATGACGACCCATCCCTTGCTAGTATGACAGGCAGTGGCATGCTGCAGTTACCTCCATTCCGAGATGCAGCAGGCGTCTGTGAAGACTATTTGCATGAAGTATACAAGCATGTATCAGGTATATTGCGGGAACAAATGACCGATCTGACTTTTGAAAATACTCCGATGGAATGTTGGGTAACATTGCCTGCTGTGTGGTCAGAAGAGGCTAAAGATGTTACCTTGAAAGCAGCAAAAAACGCTGGTTTTGGGAAGAGACCAGGAGACGAAATCTACACCATTGCCGAGCCTGAAGCTGCAGCAATCGCAACGTTGAAGGAATACGCCAAATCAGATTCATTCAATCCAATTTCAGTAAGTCTAAGTACGCGTACCTTGGTGATAGGTACTAACTAATTCAGTGTACTGAGAATATACTTATATGTGACTGTGGTGGAGGAACTGTTGACATTACTACGTACACGATCATCCAGGTGCAGCCATACCTTATCTTCGACGAACTATGTGTTGGCATCGGTAAGTCGCCTTTTTCCAGCTTGACAAAGCCAACCTTTTGTGACTAGATTTTAATGTTTTGGACAGGTGGAAAATGTGGTTCAACAAACATCGATCGAAATCTACACCTTATGCTCTCCAAACGCTTTGGTTCAGCATTCGATGATCTGCCATTTGGTCAAAAAGGTCCAGGTAGTAGATTTATGACGGCCTTCGAAGCATTAAAGCGGGATTTTGGACGTAACGATGAGAGGGAAGTGGGAGAGCTGGGCCCTCTGAATCTTGATGTTCAGGATTCTGATCATTACGACACGGAAGATCGACTTGTTCTGCTCAGCTAGTAAGAATCTTGCGTCCCCCGTAAAGCGTTCATCTAACTAACAAGCCTCCAGTGAAGATATGGAGGACTTATTTGATCCCGTTATTGCAGAAATTACAAGCTTAGTGGGAAAGCAAGTGGCCGCAGCAAATAAAATAAAAAATGCTAGAATCAACGTATGTTTTGATTCCGATTCTGAACAGAACTTAAGGATATTTTAATAAAATCTATGATAATTTAGCGTGTTATACTGGTCGGAGGCTTTGGTGAATCGCCACACCTCAATAAACAGTTGAAAAAGTGGTGCAGACAAAATGGCAACATAACTTTGATGCGCCCTTTGCATCCGTAAGTCACAATTCATCTGAATTTTCGATTTGTTGCTATTCTAATTCTATCCGAAGACAATCAGCTGTTGTGCGTGGCGCTGCCTTGCGTGGGTTAGAAGGAATTGCGCCTCGGAGCAAGCGATTACGTCGTCATTATGGTATCTCGTTGCAAATGCCTTTTAGAAAAGGTATAGACCCTGAAAAAGATTCATGCATTAATTCGTGGGGTGACGAGAAGATGTGCACTCACCGAATGAAATGGTTGATATTGAAGGTGAGCCTTTTGATGAGCTGATTGTCGATCACTCTGTCCAATTGATGATTGTCGGAATGCAAGACACATTCAGCGAATCATTTTCCGAGGCACTATATAGCATATTCTAATGAATATATTTTGCTAACAAAAACATCGCAGGGCAGTGAAATAACAAAGGATACCTCTAGAACCATTGATCTCGTCCGCGAGTATACACCTGGGGTGGATTTGATCTTCACTAGCACCTTGTATGCTTGTGTAGCAGAAGATCTCCCCGAATATGAAAATGATTCTCGTATGTTGGCCCCGTTTATATGAGATAGCTTGATTAACATAATATAGGAATCGAGGCAGTTGGTCTTATCTGTTCAACTATAGGTAAGGATGTTGATTTCAGTCGATTTGGCAAGAAAATGTACAATGCCAGACTCCATCAATGGGTATATCAGGTTTCATTTCAAGAACAGATCATCTTCGGTGGCAAGGGAGATAATCTCACATTCAGATGTCTTGTGGGAAATAAAGAAGTCGGAAAGTCAGTCATGAAATTCGATCGTTGAAAGTTAAAGGGAAAGCAACTTTCAATAATAGAATCTTGATCATTCGAAAGCGTAATCGTCTTGCTTTCACGAACATCTATCCCGCTTCTCTTCCTTTACTTCGCAAAAGAGCAGCATTACATTCAAAACCATGTTCATTATATTAGTCCACTTTGAGGTGGCTGATATCTTCAAACACCTGGCTAAGTAACCGGTAATGCATTGGATTTTACAAAATGAAAAATCTTTTCAACCATTTTGCTCTTTCTGTACAATGATAAAGACCTGCCAGCATGTAGGAACTCCAGCTCTTGAAAACGCAGATCGAGGTATTACAAACAGTCAAATCTAAGCAGTACAGCACATAAGCGTTTGTATAAAAGTCCAAGTAACAGAATTGAATTGTAGAGCATCATTCTTGTTATGCGTCCCAAGATCAATATGTTCTTCCGAATCCATGGGATACTCCTTCTCACCAAACACCCTAGCAATTGGATATATTCTTTTCAAAATTTGCCTCTCCCAATGTACATATCTTTCATATGTGAGGATTAAAACAGTTTGAAATGCAATGCCACAAGACGAGAGTCTTGTTGATTCTAAAATTAATCATTCAAAATATTAGATTATGTCTATCGCAAGCTTGTTAAACTTTCGTAACTAGCATCTAAAAAGCTGGTCCATAACTTCGGACATCCACTACAAGTGCCATTGTATAACTTCAAGAACTAGCCGCGCTGTCCAATAATCCATGGTTTTGGATATTGTATATATAGGATCACAGGCAACAAGCATCACCATTATCTGGAACATCAAAGAGAATCTCATTTTCACACACGAGAAACCTATCATTATATTTCCACATGGACTCGGATACTGTCCATCTATTCTTCAAAACTTCAATGTCAACCATGACTTCACTAACTCGAACGCGCGTATCTTGATTAACAAACCAGCCTTCTCGCAAGATCCATAATCTGCTGTTCTGAACGAACAAATATCCCAAGCAGCATTTGGTATCCCTATCTTCCCTAATGAAAGCATACAGTAGAATCTGCAGCAGCACTTCAAGGCCCCATGACAGAATTTGTTTAGCCGAACTTCAAAAACTCCTCCAGCAGTGATTTTTTTTCCTTCTTCATTTGTAGCTCATCAAGTCATGAGATCGCATACCAAGTACCCTCCAACAGACATGACTAAGAATAATACCCCCCAAATGTTGTGTATCTGCTTGGCAAATCACATGAGACGAGCGAGGGATTCATGAAAGGGAAGAATTGCCCTCGGGCTTCTTCAAGTCATGTGCCCAGGTACCCAGTGGAGCTGAAAGTCATGCGGAATGGATTCGAAATTGATTATCTTCGTCGGCTCGATGTGCCATATCAAATTTCACAATAATTCATTCTCTGAGCGAGATTTTTCTCCACGCAGATCCGAATTCCGATGGCCGAACACATAGTGTCATGACGCAGGATTCATCTCAGCCCCTTCGCTCTCTCTTTCTGGAGATATTGTGGTATTCTTCTAATAAGTATTCTCAGATTCTCTGCGATACACTCCCACATGTTTTGATAGTAACGTGCACCATTCGCTTCTAAGTCTGGGAATCAATGTAGGTATAAGCCATAGCCAGAGCTACCTCAATCCCTAATAATAACAAAAGTAGAATACTAGCTATATGGATATGGAAAACAGTAGAAGATATTAGTGAAATGAATTGTCGAAAGCGTACTGTAACCGTTTCAAAGTGATTATTATATACGACAAAGCAGCCGTTATGAAATTCTCAACATTATCACATCACCTCTATCATTTTTCTATCTGAACAAAGCCATCATTGCAAGACTTCACTGGCATAATCAGATTCTTGAGTCTTGGACGGAGCTATAGAAGAGAAAACATTATTTGGATGATTAGAAACTTCCCTGAAGTCTGCCTTTCTCTATTAACTTTAGTTCTACATTCCACAATTACTGTCGATTTCTTATTATCCATCAGCGACCCCGCCAGAAACCAGATTTGGGAGACTTGAAATTATCACATCGTTATTACAGTCTTTTCCAGCCCGAGACATTTCTCCTTTAGCTCCATTGATTCATCGTCTAGGTTGGTTATTATCCGAGCAGATGATGGATTCATCGATAGCGTTTAGCACCAGGCCACGCTCATACTCAGGTGTGTATTTCTGAAATACACTAGAGTCCTCATGCAGACATCGAGTGATGAATCAAAAACACTCTAGAGTGTGGATAGCCAGCTCCCACATTACATTGCTCTTGCATGCATCTCTACCATTCAGATTACTCGACCATTAAATATATCTGTATAATCATCGCCTTGTATTCCGAAATCCGCGTGCTTAAGATGTGCCACAGAAGGTTCCCCGTGAAAAACGCCGCCATACCTGTTTAGAGGGTTCTTTCTCGAAGACCCAGTTAACAAATTTCGTGTTAGTCTTGCTGCACGAGATTCATTGAGGGGCCAAGTCTGCGGTACGGAGTTGTGTGAGGATATTTTAGCCAATCTTCTCGCCTCTTCGGCCAGACTATGTGGCGTGCCCTCGCGATACTCTAATTTGCGCTGCAACATCAGAGCGTCATTATCTGACCATGTACAGGATTCATCATTATGACCAACGACTGTGTTCCAAGCAGTCAATACATCCCATTCTCTAGGTTGTTTGAGCAAGCCTTTGATTACATTCGTTAATGACCATTGTGATACATCAAGACCTTGCTTTTCGTAGTGCTCGGCAATATGGTCAAGTCTTGCTGTTTGAGGTTAGTAAAAGTCGGTTTTCATGAACCCAAATTATTTAAAATTCATATCGTTAACCAGGTCAATTTCACAAAAATAAAATAAGAGAAGTAAAAGAAAAACACTATCACAGATGAAGATGAACGTGTGACTTACTATCCCAAGTGAAAAAGCAACCACCACAGAAGCCGCAGCCCCAAGCCTTCTTTTCGGGCAAATCTTGATGCCATGCTTCCCAGCCTGTGGATCCTTCCGATAAAGCATGATGTTTCTTCAAATGATCCCTTAACTTGTCCTTCCTAGGATGGCTCCTTTCAGACAAAGGTTTACTCCAGCAATTTTGAAATCGGTGTTTGTCAACGAGATGGTTAATCATCCCATTGCGATTTCCATCGAAATGATTGCATAATATGCAATGCCAAATATTAAGTATCTGAACAGTGGGCTCTTTGGACATGCAGTACCAGAGTTTCTGTTGTTCGCACTTTGTTTGTTCGTGCCTTTTCCAGTCGCCCTTGGCACCTTTACGTTCAAATGGCTGACCGCATATAGTACAACTATATCTTAAGAACTTTTGAGGTATATCTGGTAGTTTCTTAGAATTGAAAGTTGTACTTGATTTCCGTCTCAAGCTTGTGGTTGGACGAGGGATAGATTCCAAGCTGCGGTGTCGAGTAATGGGCTCACTTGTATCGAGAACATCAGCTAATTTTTGTTGTAAATCCAAAACCGAAGGGAATTTTGTTGGCTGTGTAATCTGATGATGCTGGAAACTCTGGGGTGCGTTAGTTGGGCCTGCCTCCAGGGCTTCGTCAACGGAGAAAAGCGTTGATGTAGTGCCCCAAGTACGTCCAGATGATCTGTTTGAAGCGCACTTACTCCCATAACCTGATGGTATTGACATAATTGAATCGGTATCGGAGAATGCCATAGTATCCGAGGGAAGGAGACCATCTTCCGAGGACTGCTCGCACCAATTTTCGAGGGGGTAAAAGTCCATCAAATCTGTGGAGGGGGGCCATGCATATTGTAAAATGATTGTTCGAGATGAGACCAATCAACAAGACTGGAAAAACCTGCATCGAAATCTTGTATGTTGTTGCCCAGTAGAATGGGTGTCGAGTCTGAAAATTCGAGGTGTGCACGTTTGGAATTGCGGCTTTCAGAACCACACGCGTCAATCTCAGAAGGTAACCCTACTTCTCCAGACGTGATTAAAATATTGGCGCCTAAAATCGACTATGAGAAACCTTTTCCGTGCCAGATAAAAAGATGTTTTACTTACGAGTATTCTCTTGACAGGTCCACCAGTGATCTATTTGTTCTTGCTGTAGACCTGTCTCGCTCATTAAAAAGGCCATGGAGCCATCCCGAGGCCTGCCCAGGTTATTTGAAGCCCAACTTTTCAACATATTCTCCTGGTTATCCATCAATGGTAACATATTCATAGCGGCTAGCGTGTCCAGAATCTCAGTCGTGTGTTCTGTAGTGAGGGATAGCCATATACAGATATTATTCTGGCCCTATATAAGTTGACAATGATATTCTGGATGACCCGCATCAATTGTGAGCCTAAAGTTGTGATTGATCGCCACCGTCTATGAATGTATGTACTTCGGGCTCAGATCCATGCAGCTCATAGGGCAAAGCGAGAGGGCTGATAGTTGTGTAGTTTCGAAACAATGCGCCCTCTTAAGGAACTCTCCCTGCATAATTATATGCTTGTATGATATCAACATTGGTAATGATAAGCTGTAATACTGGGGTATGTGAGTAGCCATTCTGTGTTTTGTCGAGTGAGGCTGGATCTGAAACGCGATTCGTTCCAGAATCATGTGGCGAAAACGGAATCACTCTAGTTGATTCGTTCGTCTTGAAACATCATGCTAGAATGATATGCCTTTGCGGGGTTCATCTTTTGTTTTGAAAATCCATGACGTCCGATTTAAGGGATACCTATTTGCCGCGGAATGGCGGTGAATGCGGCGACAATTCGGTCAACCGAGCAAGGAAGACGGTTTTATGACAGCAACGACACTATTCGAGTTACGAATATATCTAGCTCATCCGTTACGCAGTAAGTACTTCGATATGAATGCAATTTTCAAGCATTTCCACAACGCAAATGCTGATCTACTTGAAAATCTGATGTGCATCCGCCTCTCGCTAATGCTTCAGCATATTTATTGAGTGTCATGGCTATTACATAAGTAGTTGGAATACCAGAATTGTAGCTGTCGCGAATCTCTCATGTTTTTTTTGAGACAAGTAGTACTTATGACTTCAGAGGGGATACGACTGCTTGCCAATATTAAACATCCAGACAAATTCCCTTTGGATTTCTCTTTTTCTGTTCAAGAAAACAATACTCTGGTAAGTTTCAACGATTATAAGGCAGTGTTATGATGTAGTACATTGAAAAAGGCATGATTTGACTGGCTTGTCCTCATTGAACTACCCCCATCAGCCAAGTCGGCAGCGATCGTCAGAGGCCGATCCAAATACTAGATAAAGTCATATTGGCGCAACAAACTAACAGAAATACCAAGGCAACCCTAGGTTACAGAACTAATCGCTGGTTCTCACTACTCCTTAACCGTTTCCCAAACTTCATTAAAATCAAGGGAATTGGCACAAAAGAAAGAGCCAGGAAACCCAATAACGAGTTTCCCCAACCCAGGCCAAGCTTTTTGTAAAGAGGGGGTCCTGCCAATGGCAAAACGGTACCAAAAAGATTTTTCAGACATAAGTTTGCAGCAGCAGCGGAAGCCGCATATATCGTATAAACATCCATTAAGTATGTAGAGGTTGGAATCAGCGTCACCATAAGACCAAAGCCTAATAGTGCAGTTCCAATTATAGGAGCAATCCAATGAAGATGGTACTGACTTGTCCAGCCGTACAGGAAAAGTCCGAGAGGAAGGAGCGTTCCACCTAATAACATGGGGGGAGGCGATGTTCTGGGTCGATAAGTACCGCCTGATCAGTCTCATGATGGTTGGTGTCATGATTTTGAGCTACCTTGGCTGCTTGTCGCTTAATGAGCCTGTCAAGGGTCAATCTACAGAGGATAACAGCTAACGTCATGCCAATCCCTAAATGCTGTTTCTTAGCATGATGCACAGAACTATTTGAATGGGACAAAGTATTTATTTTCAAAGGTGCGCTAAGGAAGAATCTGAATCCGAAAGAGATGGGAATACAATACCAATGCCGAGGTACATAAGCCCTACGGGCCCTTGCTTGAAGTGGTAAACGTCTTGAAAAACACTTGGCAGAATCGTAATGACAAGATATAAGTATCCATAAACAAGAGAATTGTATAGTGATAACATCATGACTATAGGTGAGAATATCAGCATCTTTGCAGGGCGCATTATTGCTCTCTTGAAGAGTTCTTTGGCTGATTTCCCTTGATCAAATTTAGAACGAAGATTAGCGTTACCTGTCTCTCTACGAAGACGTTTTGCCTTGCGTTCCAAGATGGTAAAAGAGTAGGTTTCGCGAAAGAACAGCAAAAAGCCGACTTCAAGACTCCCGGCTACAATTGCCACCAGCCAAAATGCCCAACGCCAGGAGAGATTAGCGGTGACATAGCCTCCCAAGATAGATCCACAGACAACACCTACTAATGGACTAAATCCCATGATAGACATGGCAGTCCCTCGTTGAGATTGTGGAAACATATCGACAACGGTTCCTGCATTGAGAGTTGTGGAGGCCACAGCTATGCCACTCAGAAATCGGAAGCCTATGAGCATCTTAATGCTTGTACTGAGAGCGCTCGCTATCTAAAAGAGAGTAAAGAAGATATTAGCAATATTGTAAATGTAGAAGCGACTGTAAAGTTCAGATAATGGTCCCATCATCAGTGGTCCTAAGATTTCTCCGAGCTCCCAGATTGAAACAATAATAGGTCCATCGAGAGCATTGTTACTATGGAACTCTTGGAGAATCTGCGGTGTCGCTGGTGCGCAGATTATGGTGGCGAGATTGCTTTCAACAATTTTTCATTAGTTAGATATCATCATGAAATGTGATCATTGAATCACAGGGGAGGAAACCTACACCATCAAGTTCTCGAAAGAAACCAGAGCTACCATGGTCCATTTGTACCTCCATGACCACTACATATTAACTTCGTTGATATGATTTTCTTAGGGTCTGTTAAAGGAAGGAGGAGAAGGGGAATGTACTGAAACTGGAGCATACGTTCAATGGGTTTTCAGGGTCCGAGGGACCTTCAAAATCCACAATATTCGAGTCGGAGGCTTCGATAATAGGCTGCTGGGTGACACCATCTTTTTCTGAAGAAGTCAAACTGGAATTCCCGCTAGAATTGATTTGGTCTTCGAGGACTTTGTCCGACATAGTATTCTTCCAGACTTGGAAGCACAGAAAAATAGCAAAACTTTGAAGCGAAAGGCACTCTTAGGATTGGCTTGAAAAAATACTTCCGATAGATGCAAGTATTCGATGACCACATGGGGTACTTATAAGCTAAAATCCAACAGCTCTTTTTGTGGTACCTACCATATTTGGACATTCAACTGCTCGTCGGCAGATGTCAAGAAATCTTGATTGCCAAGCACGCTATGAGGACTGGGCCGCCAACGTGCATGCACAGACAGTGGAGTAGACAGTCTTAGACTGGGGTTGCTTTAACACCCTCTTCAACACAACACCCGCCCTAAACATAGTGAAATGACATCTTGATCCAGGGTTTCAGTAAGTCGATACTTTAATTGAATTACTTTATCGCTCATTATTCTAAATCACATGTACGAAAGAGTGTGCCTCGGTAGATTTCTGATACACTCAAATCATTACTTTTTTTTGCTGATTGTGAATGCCGTCTAATATCCGAACTGAGGTGCGCAGCAGGGATCTACTAGTTGTAGGGTAGGCGGTCGGATATATGATTGGAAGATTCACTCTAACCCATATCTCTGCAATTAATACTTTTTTTAGGTGTAGGCTGCTAGATTGCATGAATTTCTTGATGAAAAGTGGCCGAGTTGAAGTATGGGCTGGGTTTATGGAAGATTGATGTACAGTAAATGACCACAATAGCGATTGAGACTGTTTATCACAGATACGTGTGTCTAGAGACCCATGCACGGGAGTTTGAAAGAAAACGCTTCAACATTATTGCTTTCCTAATTTTGACCTGAAATACTACTACATGATAGAGAATCTCTATAGGAAACCCGAAACTTCCCTCAGTAATTATGTCTACACAAGCTCCAATACGATATCAAGCCATTCCAACCCTTGCAGCAGAATATATTGACCATTTACAATGCGTGCACACTGACCTCCATGATTGGACCTTGATATACTTTCTTGGCCCATAAGAGATAGTAAATAAGGCTTGCAATGACCACCGTGCCCAGAACTAACGAGCTATAATTCATATTGACAGCAGTGACTGGTTTGGTGGCGGGCCAGAAGGCAAAAAAGCAGACTATGGAGAGATACACGCAAGTGATGACATTGGCTGCTGTTCCCAGCCATCCCTTGGCTCTCCACTCTCCCCATTTTAGCTGTTTGTCTGTTGATATTACATCGAAGCTTTCTTTTGGCTCCAGAATCTGGCCCTTGAGCCGTCGATATAGTAGCAAAGAGCACGGAACTAAATAAGAGGTTGCGAATGCCTCAACCACCAAGGATACGACCGCGTTGAAGGCGTCTGAAGATCCGATGTTGATAATCCCTATTAAGGCGCTACAAATTGTAACTACCACAATAGCTGTCAGTGGAATCGCTGTTTTTGAGTGTACCTAAAATTATCAGCCTAGAAATTGAATAGCCTATACATTTTAACGGGTCACATACACTGCTGAGTTTACTTGCCCATGGAAGCCCTCGGTCTCGTGCAAAGGACCACATCATCCGACTGGCAGAAGCTAAAGCCGCAATAGCCCCGGCAAGTGACATTAAGACTACAATGCTCACCATGGTATTAGCTCCTTTGGCAGAGCCAACAGCATTGGTAAAAATGGCAATGAATGGAAATCCAGTTGGGCTTTCAGCTGCTTTGTTAAGATCTCCAGCGCAAAAAAGAACTGCGAGGAGCATGCCAAACCCGAGAAGTCCATTTATGAAGATCGACAGTAGCATAGAGCGCGGAACGTTGAGCGAAGCATGCTTTACCTCTTCTGACATCTATTCAAGATTAATCGATGCAGATGTCTAGAATTTCTTCGGGTGAACATACATGAATAGCTGAATCAGCTCCTGAAAAAGACAATTAATATAACAATGTGTTTTGATGAGGAGATGACTTACCAGTGAAGGCCGCGATATTTCCGTTCAGACCAATAAAGAATGAAAGCGTCTGGGATTCCCACCCGGTATTCACAAATGTGGTGAAAATTTCTTTAGCGTTGCCGTGAGGTCCGAGATGAACCAGCGGTATGATTATTGCAAAGAATCCTAAAATGTGAACAACCAAAATAGCAACTTCAAGAATAGGTAGCGCCCGACTCAAGAAGCCGTTTATAGAGACACAAAGAAACAGCACTGCCCAGAATATCGGTGTCCCTTTCCAGCCTGTAGGAACAAATTCTGAGTTATTTTGAACAGCGAGCCCCTCTATGAGCTCGCTTGTAAAGAAAGCACCAGCTGTTGTTGCTGCAATCCAACCCATCACAGTAGCCCATCCTAAATGAATGACAAAATTAGTATGCGCAAGCATGGATACAAGAAAGTCAGTGATCATCGGCTCATGCGGCATACATACCGGTCACGTAACTCAAAAATTTCTTAGAAGATGTCGGTGCAAGGATTGCCACGTAGTGATACTGCCCCCAGCAGTAGGAACCATGGATGCCAACTCACTCATAGTGACAAATGTACAGAATGTACCAAACCATATGACCAGGAATCCATAAATGAGGCCGGCAGGCCCTCCACTAGAAACAGATTAGCACCAGGCGATAGCCGATTTAGAAAGGCTGCAAGCTGCATTGGAGACCAACTTCTGATAACCGAGTAGGAAGAACCTATTCTTTTTATCAGTCTTGGAAAGTTATAGAGCGCGTTCTATCAGGTGAACACCTTGATCTTTGGAAGTGTTTTGTTATACTTACACTAGAACACCCTCCCAAGTTCCCATGAGACTGCATGCAAAGCCAATCAAGCTGACCAGTGCAAATCTGCGCTAGAAGTAGTTAGTATTGATACTTGTGTTAGATTTTCTGGTCTCCATACCCTCAAGACTTGTTTCTTCCCGGCTCGAGCGAGTTCAATGACATCTTGGTCTTCTGCAAATGGGTTAGAGTTGTGTCTTTCTATCGCTGAATGATTCTTACTAGACAGTGCAGGCTGTGGTAAACCTTGAGAAAGTAGATACTTTTATCGGGGTTCCAAGGGTATTGTGTTGATGGCTCTAGCTGGTGCTCTTTGACATAAGAACTCGGCAACGCAATTGCGACTGGATCGGTATTGATGCTCTCCCATAGTTCATCCACGAGAGTCTGATTTTCCCCCCAATAATCAGTGTAGAATTGATAAGTATGTGGTACGTCGCTTGTTAGTTTAGCTGTATGCACTCTCAGCACTCTTTGTAGAGTAGATATCAGTTTTAAATATTCATCATACCGTACTTGGAAACACTGTCTTTGGATCCGCCATAGAATATGTCTAGAGTAAAATATACATTCAAGAAGACGGAGAAGCCTATCGCAAATGCTGCTAGAGTATAATGAACTCGGCGAAACCATGATCGGTTGTTTCGGGGTTGCAGCTGATGCTCGAGGTCCAAATGATCCTCTTCTAGAAGGCGTTCTTTCGACTCCAGGTTTGACATAGTAGTTTAATTGTTATTCAGCCCTCGTTCTCTGGGGAAAACAGGTGGAGGAATCAAATGAAGTCGACACTCTAAATAGAAAAACTTTCTTCTGTTTCTTGTTTCCTATGAATCTTGCAAGTGGGTGACAAGAGGGAAAGATTTGCTTAACATGCTGGCTGCATGGAGACTTCTGTGGAAGGTTTCTATCAGAGACCAAAAACTGCGACGGCTAAATCTAAGTGCATATGCATGGAATTGTGAGTTTCGACGGACTTTCCATTGGCTTTCGTGGTTCCGCAACGTATCTTTTTCTCGATGAACGAAAATACCAGGATGTGGATTTTTCACCACCTCTTCAAAAATTGATATCGAATGCCTCTATAATGAGTATTTTAAATCAATATTTGCATGCACTTCTTTGCAAGCTAAGAATTGATAGATGCTCAGACTACTCATGATATCAAAATTACGAGCTTACACTACGATCTGATTGTGGATTAAAAATGAGTCGAGCGAGCTTGATATTTCGATCTCTCCGTCTACGTGGAGCTTCTCTGAAAAGATACAAATTGGTTTAGATCCTGTTGGAATTGAGTTGGTATCGGCCAGGAGGTGAATACTAGTGCCCATCCTAGTCAGCATTACGTCTGATGTCACATTAAAATCGGAATGACAGACCCACTGCAAAATGAAAGGCAGCAACTGCCAATCGGATTACAGAGCTTTATCTCATAAAAAATGAAAATTTCCCGAACACCCCTGAGCAAGTAAGCAGGAGGTACAGGATTTCGGCTAAGCACTGCATAAGTACCCTGAGACCATCACTTCACCTCAAAACTAAAATTTTGGTGCTGGCCATATTATTTCGAAGCTGTCTGCTCATTCAATCCAAATAAACCCTTTCTTGCAGAACCCCGGCTATACACAAGATGCCCCCCGTCTACCCACTTCACGAAGCCACTTCTCGTGCCGAATCGGATGCGATTGTCGATCTAGCCTGGATTGCCTGGCACGATCCTTACTTACCATCTTTCCAAATTTTCCATCCAGTACATGGTCCTACAGCACGGGATCACGAGGCAGCGATCTTGGCTGATAAGGAGAGAGCATGGAATACTCATTTGGCATACAAGGAGGGTGTCAGCCATTGGATCTATGTGGTCGACCAGAGTAATGGTGCAGTTATCGGTGCCTGTCAGGTAATTCTCCTCTTATCATTAGTATTTCTTGTATGCTGATAATAGATAAATTTAGTGGCTCATATTTGCAGACACGCCATGGCCCAACGAGCTCCCCAAGATAGTTGCAACTTGGTGGCCGGAAGGAGAAGGTAGGAATTTTGCAACCGAGTTTGTGAGACAGTGTTATACACCTCGGCAACAATGGATGAATAGACCTCATATAGGTAAGCAGATCTTTCCCTGATTTGCTCTGTAATCTGCATCACCTTGTTGAAGCTGTCGTAACCTAATCATTCCTGTGCAGCTCTGAATCAAACTTCAGTACATCCGAAGTATAGAGGAAAAGGTATTGGCACACTTCTGATGGACTGGGGCACCAACATGGCAGATAAGTTAGGGTTGGAAGGATTCATCGAGGTAAGTGGGATACAACGCTGTTTACTCTTTCTTGCTATTCGTGATATCCTGAAGGGCCCTCCAGTGCATGCTAAGTTGCCTTCAAATTCTAGGCGTCAGATAGTGGTCGTGGTCTTTATGAAAAACACGGATTCCGAACTCTCATGAAATTGTCAATAAGTCTTGAAAAGAAAAATGCAAGCGGAGAATGGAAAAGATTGCTGCATGACTTAAGGTCATTTAATTTTTATATTAATTATAGACCAGTCGGGGGGTGTTTGAAGAAGGGAAGCCACAGACACCCTGGCAGGTAGATCAGATGTTGGCAAAGGAGGGTAGAAGTGAAGTCAAAATGCCCGTGATGAAGCTTTGCCCGTAGGTTGGTCGGCTCAACCTACTAAGTTCATTCTTCTGTATGTGTTGCAGCCGCGGCGAAAACCAGTGTTTAGCTTAAGCGGTGTAGCTAGTATGAATATAGTCAGCGCAATGTGGACTTGAAACAAAACAAATTTGTTGCATCCTATCATATTAAAGCCTTCGCCACAGGAACTATAATTTAGACAAGCTTCTCAAATGGTTACAAGTCATCTTAAGCCATCAATTCCTTGAAGCTTTGAACTGATCCCCACCCAAACCTTACCCAATTTTCTCTCCCAGTTTCAAAACTCCACAACTTGATCGCAAATGGCTTCTTCTACATTTTAGAAATCTAATGCAGGCTTGTTTCTGGCCTTCTTACTGTTAAATTTGTAAAACTACAAATTTTCAATTTGAGAAGTTGATGAATATTGAGTTTTTTATCCTTGCAACGTGCAAAATGGGTTTCCGATAATTTCGCACAATTGAGCATATGCGGATTTGTTACCCGTGGTCGGGAAGCGATGGCCAGAAGCCTTTGCAGATTCACAAGCTCGAGAATGAATTTCTTCCAGGTTGTGGACATCGGCCTAGCCAAAGCAATTGATATCTTGGATGATGCTCTTCAACCTTTTGGAGTGATGAATATTTGCGGAGAGCATTGTGATTGTCATGCGATGTGACATTCTGCAAAGTTTGCCCGTATACCATAAGGGGCAGATGGTAGACACACTGAAGTAGGTCTTCAATCCTTTCGCAAAATCATATGCTGCCTTTTGAGCAAAAGCTTTTGACGCACACTTCGATTGGTGTTTAGGTAATCGTTGCAACATAATAGGTAGTTCAACTCCAATACTTCTCGCTGTATATGTAGCCTGTTCTAAGCCCTTTTTCCAGATCTCTAATCGAGGTAAAGGATGAGGTAACGATGACCTGCTTATATTGAGGGACATTCTTCTGAGCATCTCCCAAGATATTAGCTGTGAATTCTATAGCTGAATTAAGAATGGCACACCTGTAATCTTGAAAGTTCATGATGAATGGAGATACCGAATGGACCAATTAGAACATGCGAGTGTGTGGTTCATGGCTATTGTATGATGTAGCATTGATTGACCATCAAACTATTGGTCATGTCTCCCTAGACTAACGAAACTGACTTCCATCACAACCTTGATGAAACAATCGACTCTAAACCAAGGTGTTGATGAAGATGCATTGAGCATTGCAGCATTCATGAATACTGTCTCTGGTCGACACCTCTATCTCACCGCAGATATCGATCGAAAGCTCGACAGGCTGTTTCGAGATCAATCGTAACTATTTGCTTCACACAAAATTACGATTACCTCTAGCATGATGGGTGCGCCTGCTGCTACATGAAGGGTTGATTCGCGATTCGAGGAGTTGCATGAAAGATTGTAGGAGCTGTTCCAGATTAAGAGGAAGAAGACGAAGTTTCGAACGACCGCCTTGAATTAGAACATTCGCGACGTCGAGATTAAGTAGACTCCACAAAATAAGCCACCCGCAGTCTCGTATATAGGTATATAAAATGACAATAACAAGCAGTGGATCATTCGTTTTATGAACTCTTGCGGCCATGAAGCCGAGAAAGAGAAGCCCACCAAAAAGAAGCGCAGTGGAGATAGGCTCACCGGGCGCCCTCAGCTTAGATCGCTGCGGAGACTTGAATCTGGGTCTCTGTTCTCGTCGAGAAATCTTGAATTCTACCAAGCAAGTGTGAAGGGGGACTACGGGATAAATTAACTAGCCATATATCGGGGAGCGTTGGGGATTCTTCATTGGTTCTGTACTATAGTCATATCAACTTCTAATGAATTCTTCCCGAAACTCTGCACCAGAAGTCTGGCAAGTTCCGTGTACCTCCTCCTTTTTACCGTCCTGTCCACATATTGCCAGGTTTGCAAAATTTATTTCCCCTCATTTCATCAATATCACCAAGCCACTTGATCATCGACAGGAATATATCTATGATAAGATGGAAGTCGGAGGTTATAAATCGGAGTTTCAAAATGACAGCTGTCGATCGAATTCCATTAAGCCCTATGAAACTTGAGAAAATCTTTAGAGGATCGCTGCGGTACACGTTAGTCGAATTTAAACTTTCGCATTTGCGTATTCGGGGTTCTGGAAGACCCCACTTTGGGCTGTTTAAGCTAAGCACTACTTTCAATCCCCTGTTAAACTTCGCCATGCGTTATACGAGATGATTTGATTGGTTAAGATATCCTTAAACTTTTCTTTGCTGTGCCAAGATGTGCTATTTTGATTCTAGATATGGGACGCCAGGAAATATTGTTGTTTCGACATAAGACGGTCTTTTCAAAATGCCAACATAATGTGCGACTGCTATCATGATGGATTCTATGTGTTGCTATATAGATGAGGGGTCTTCTCTCGAGGAATTCTATCTTCACAACACATCTTATCATACTACACTATCCATCTTATCATACTCTAATATCCATCTGATATCTAAATCTCCATTATAACTTTCAAATCCTCTCCACTTCCCCAGATTATACTCCAACAACACAAATAACCGCAATCATGGTGGCTACAACGACCCTAGAATCGTGTGCATACTACTGCTATGTACCAAGCATGGCAGTTGCAGCTATGTTCGCAGCAATTTTCGTCCAGTCAACACTTCTACACGCATATCAAATCTCACGATCGAAGACCAAGTTCTTCATCCCCATTGCAGTTGGAGGTCTTCGTAAGTCACTTACACTAAATACCCCAGAGTGAAGCTACTGTACTAACATTCATCAATAGTCGAAGCAATCGGTTATGCATGCCGCTTAATTTCACACTTCGAGTCACCAACCTTCTCAGTCATTCCCTTCGGCATTCAATACACCTGTATTCTCGTAGCTCCAACCATCATGGCAGCAGCAGTCTACATGTACTATGAGCACCTCGTCAAAGCCGTCGGTGGTGAATCACTATCTCCAATCCGTCTCAGCAGATTCCAGAAGATCTTCCTCTTCTTCGATTGTTTCTCCGTCATTATCCTCATTGTCGGTTCTATTCTTCGTCTTATGACTACGATGCCCGTCAGCTGGATCAGACTCGGTAACAGACTTGTCATGATGGGTTTGGGCGAACAATTACTCTTCCTTGTCATCTTCGTCTTCACAGCTGCCAAATTCCAATACAACATCTCGCAGAACCCCACAGAACGCATTTCTGCAACCGTGGAACCAAAGTCCGCTCGTACAGGCATCCCATACAAGAGACATCTCGTGGCTATGTACATCGCTTCTGCCCTTATTGCTATTCGATCTTTGATCCGCTTGGTGGAGAACTTGACAGGTACCACTGGACTCATTAGAAGTCACGAGACATTCCTGATTGTCTTCGACGGAGCATTGATGCTTAACATGATGTTGCTATTCCACTACATCCATCCCAGTGAGATTGCTGCATTCGAAACCTTCTACGCCAGTGACGGAGCTGATACTTCCCGTCCTTACTTTGCGGGAATAAAGGTTTGGCAGGGAAAGAGATTAAGTCGGGATGGTATGATGGATGTCTAGGGAGAGAAAAGGATTATGTTTGGGGAAGGGGCTGGGTTCTCGATTGGGATATGGGTTGGTAAATTTACTTTGGAGTTTGGGCATTGCAGATATTGGATCTCGGACGAGAGGGGGTAGGAAAGGGCACCTCAAAACACTCATTTATAAGATGAACCATCATGAATTTCATTTGTACAAAGATGGAGAAATAGGCATAGAATATTAGAACAATCAAAAGAACAAATAAAACAAAAAAAAATCTCGATTTTCGAGTTTTGATTCAATTTATTCTCAGACTCGCTTTCAGTTCTTAATCCACAACAGAATATATTTCAATCCCATCTAGCGGTCTCCTCACTTCAATCTCTCATCAAAAAAACTCTTCCAAAAACCCATTAACCTGATCCTTCGTTTCAAAGTGGACACAATGACCCGTAGTATCCACCTCCTTCGTAATCAAATCTTTCGCAAACAACTCCATACGTTTCGACACACTCTCCATTTCACACCATTTTTACGATTTTGCTCAATAAAAAGTGCACGGCATGGAATTTATGAGTCAAGTTTATCCTCTTTTTCCTCTTGAATGCCCAGACCTTGTCCATGACAACAACGGTACCAATTTGTCGGACCACGGAAGCTAGAACCTGAGAACGAGTGGAGACATAGAAGGGTGTTTGCCAAGTTGGGGACCGAGTTGTGTAGTTCTCTCTCAAAGAGGTAGAGAGGGCACTGAAGGGGCAAAATCTCTTGGCTGTGTCTTCCTCAGAACCGTACATGAGAGAGAAAAAACTTTCAGCCTTAACTATATCAGATTTTGTAACCCCTCATACGTAATGAGCTTGAAACAAAACGTAGAGATTGCACATACATGTTCATCCATCGTCTTCCAAGAATCATCTTCAAAGATAAATCGCATGCATTCAAACCTTTTGAAGCCTAATTCTTGCTCTGTTTACTGCCTTACCAGGTCCAAGTCAAATGGCATTCCTGGTGGTGAATATGGAACTGCCAAAAAGGCACTCAAAAGAAATCTGGTTGGATGGTAATTGATCACTTGCGACAAGAAAAGACTGCAAAAATCATGGCCTAGCGCATCGACTTTCTCAATACTTTCGTGATTGAGTAGCTCAGCAATATCTGCAGCCATGGTCTTGGAAATATAAGGCTCTAGAGCGTCAGGCTTGTCAGTACCGCCGTAGCCTAGTAGGTCGGGTGCAATGATACCATAACCTCTAGAAGCGAAATGGGGATTTTATGAAGCCAATTATAGGATGTAGATGGAAAACCATGGAGAAATAGAATGGTAGATTTGAGGGAATCGGTCTTGGGAATGTAAACATAGGCGTAAGTTGTACCGGAAGGGAGAATGACAGTCTCAGAATTGGAGGGAAATCGTATGGCTGCCATTGTCAACTTTAGGATTACAAAAGTGGGATGAGCATTTCATCAAAAAGAAAAATGAGTTCTCGATAATTAAGACATAATGGAGAAATACATGTAGGAAGAAAGTGTGCGAATACTGTGCCACGCGGACTGTAACCGTTGGTATCTTTTGTGGGAAAATGAAATGACGTAATGAGAGGTTTTAGATAATATAATAAAGGCGTTGCAATAGAGAATAACCTGCAACGCGAGTTGCCATATCCAAAATCTTATTCATGGTGATAGGTATACTATCAAGTTGTCGGAAAGCCGCAAATTGTACAACTGAAAATCTACAAGCCCCTCTTTATGTTACACTGGATCTCGGATTCTCCCTCATAGCAACTTTACGAAGCATACTGCGACGATTTCTTGGATCTTATGTAGCATAATCACTATTTTCTAGAACCATTTTCTAGGATCCTCGAGTGCTTTGAGATTTTCGCGAAAATGATCTGAGCCACTCCTTACTTCTAAGTGTCCTCATTGCGTGGCCGTCGCTGTTACGCATTGTCGATCATTACTCGCCAGTGGAGACTATGGACCAGTTCGATTTCAAGTGCCTTTGGTGACTTCCGTCAAAAAATGTTAGCCAAAATTCTGTTGAAGATTTCATCGAATTTTGATACAAATGAACTACAAGCCGAGCCAAAGCGCAGAAGAAACATGCAGTGCCAATATGAATGCTATACTAGAACACACCAGAGCCTCCATCCACTCAAAACATAATAATAGAAAACTTGTTTGGAAGACACGACCAATAAGTAAGAGAGACAAGACCAACAGGTGGATGAGTCTCCAGCAAACGGACTCCAACAAAATTTCAAAAAAGCAATAGCAGTGGACCATATTGATCTGAGGTATGATCCCGGAAAAGCTAGTGTAGCAATTATAAATCAGAAGACTTGCTGAAATTTGAGATGAACTTTATGTATGACCTTCATTGTCAGAAATTAGACAAGTTCCAGCCTTTTTGATGGCTTCGAAGCCGGATCCATTAGCCGGAAGCTGTGCCACAAACAACTTCGTCAGAGCATAGCTCCGGTGATATCTAAGGAGGCATTAGAAGCTTATATCATATTTCAGCTATCACCGATCAATCGAAGCAGTCATCGAGCGTGGGAGCTGCAACCCGTCAAAGCATATGACAATGCGCTGGCAGAATGAAGCTGAATTGCCGTCTTTTTTCATCTGCCACGGTCAGCTATTCCACCACTCTCTCATCAACTTGTTATTATGCCTGAAATATCTGCCTATGGACTGCATAGCGTGCCTCATAAAGTTACGCCTCAGCTCTCATCAATTGTGGCGATTTGAAAATCGAGGTGAAAATGTAGAAAATCTTTGCACCTGAGCTGATTAAGCACTACAGTACCACATATCTTTCTCGACTTCATCCATATCTTCCATCCAAGTTAGAATACAACCTTGAAGAGTTCACCCGGAAATTGTCATAAAAATTGATTCGACAACCAAGTGAGCTCATGGCTCACTTGCCTTCTTCCGCACACTGCTATGAGCATAGCCCACTCTCACCTCTTCAATTTACACACTACGGAGCGTGTGTACAAAGATTCATGAGCTGCCTATTTGAAATCCTGCGAATCCTACAACTAATACTAGTATAGACAATCTTGCCAATAGTATTGAGCGCTTTCATTTCTTTCGGGACTTCCGTGTTGTTTGAACGAATGATGGATTCACAATTGTCACAGAGTGGATTCAACAATAAGAGTGGAGGAGTGGTGATTGTTTACCCCGCAGTGGTCGATTTTCAGTGAGGTCGATCATGAATCAACATTGGGTGGCTCGGGTAAGCTGACCTAGCTCTCTCTCTCTCTTGACTGATTTTTTCGTGTGTCAGATGGCATGTTTGTTTGCCCTTTCGGGAAACTATCTCTTTTCTAAAAGACGTTTTCATACAATCTTGAGAGTTTGATCTCCCTACTTCGCCGTGACTTCGGCGGTGGAAATTGAAACTCCTCTAGAGCTTTGTTGATTGGCGAAAGTATTGCAGATGTGTATGCTTTTATCTGTCAACAATCCCCACAACCAGAACACCGAGCAAAATGGGCATATTACCGGCAATCCAATCAACCCGAAAGCGCGAATCCCTCAGCATTCGACAGTATTAATGGTAACATCTCTTCGGATTTAGCATCATAGTCCACCAATCGTTACAATGAGGGGTTTACAAATTTATCGACTATAAAACAAATACACGGTAGGTCCACCACAGCACATCAGCTCATTGATTGTTGAACATATATCACCACCTTCTCCCACCTGTTTACTCATAAGCCCACGACATCAAAATTACCTCCCGGTAAAGCGACCCTTTGCTCCAGATATCTCAGATTCAAGCATTTCTAGGAAGATCGACTCAACATGTCTTCACAAACCCCAAAATTTGATAACAAATGTTACATTACCACCAATTCTCCTGATGGGAAAACTACTACCTTTGTTGATTCCACCTCATTTGTAACAAAATCGACATATCCCGGCTTGACATTGAGGTACGCCTACTCTGCGACCTCTACACCCTCACTCACCGATGAAACCGACCTAAAAGCACACCAAGAAATGACCAAGCAAGAGAAAATAGTCTCCTTTCCTTCAGCTGGTGGTAGCGCAGCTGCGTTCTTGCACTTCGACCCTAATCCCGATGGAACCGAGGGGTTTATGCATCGTACGCGTACGCTCGATTATGTATACGTGGTGGAGGGAGAGGCCGAGTACACAGTGAATAGCGGGGAGAAAAAGATTTTCAAAAAGGGAGACGTGGTTATTCAACGGGCGGGATGGCATGCTTGGAAAAACGTGAGTAAGAAGGAAGGGGCTACTCTTTTTGCTGTTACAGTCGGCGCCGAGGGGGCGACGGAAGGTTTCATGGAGCTTCCAAATGCGTAGGATGGCTTTGGAATGGATAGGTGACAGACGCCTGGTTTGATCTGTATTTATGGAAGCTGAGAAGTGGTGGTTTGTTTTTCATGTAAGTTACACGCTATTATTGTGGTGGGATACTCTCCGACGTGTCAGTATCAGAATGAGAACATGGACTTCGGTTTAAAGCGGTGGGATATGGTGGTGTACAATGTGAAGGACTTGCTGAAGCATGAGTTACTTGTATAGGTATGAAAGGACGGAATTGTTATGGAACAAATATCCTCTTGCGCATCAATATCTCAATCGATTTTAAGAGTCGAAATGAACAAAGTGATAACCTGCATTATGACTATATGAGTAGCTTAAACAAGATACAGTATAAAGATAAATAAAGGAATCATTGTGTAGGATTGCTTTTATTTGGTGGTGATTTTTGATCAATTGGACCGAATTGAGGGTACCCTTACGTCATCGCTCTTCTATCTGGTCCATCAATCAAATCCCCTGTCACGTGGGAAATTGACCAAACTTCGTTTTGTTGCACATCTAAAAAATTGTTCACCCTTCCTACTTTTACACCTCTCATTTTAGGGACAAAATTATTGAATTTTACACCGACTGGGAATAAGAGCACTTTCTGGACCTTATTCCCGGCCGTGTCAAACCATACTTTTTATATATGCTGGCTGAAAAGCGGTGGGTGTCTCACAAACTTACCAAGCCAGTCTCGATATTATAAGATCTGCCCCTCATTTCACCACAATACAACAGCTACCGCAAAAATCAAACCACGAAATTAAGATGGAGAGCTTCGAAGATATGCAAATTCGACATCGTAAGGAGCAAAAAGACCTGCAAGGACGTATAACACAAAAGAAGAAAGGCGCATCGAAGAAGACTCGCAAAGGTGTGAACAATGAATGCGAGGAGCTAGAACGGCAATTGAAGGAACGGCAAGCTCAAGAGATAGCATCCTTGAATGGAGACCCTGTTCCAGATATCGATGATGTTCCAGAGCTTGACGAGGAAGCTTCAGAAGCTTCTGCGAATGCGACTGACGTAAATGGCGTCAACAATATCACCGATTCTTTAGAGAAATCCTCAATTACGGAACCAGCACAAACGGAGTCGGGACAGCCTAAGAAACGCAATCGACAAAAAGAAAGGCTTGCACGAAGAGCAGCAGAACAAGAAGCTGCTGTAGAGGAAGCTAAGAAAGAAGCTGCGAATATGCCTGATGAAAAAGAAGTAGAGAGGAAACGAATGCAGGAGGAATTCGCCTCGAGAAATTTACAGGAGAAACAAATCAGACCGGATGGACATTGCCTTTTCTCTGCCATAGAGGATCAATTATCACAAGCTGGAATATCTCTTGGAGCCGAAGCAGAAGGATTGAAGGATGATCAGCGCTACAAAGTGGTCCGCAAAGCAGCCGCAACATATATCGAAGAACACCCAGATGATTTTGTTCCATTTCTAGACGAACCTCTTGAGAACTATATTCACAAAATTAGAGATACTGCGGAATGGGGTGGTCATTTGGAACTTCTTGCTCTCGCAAAGACATATAACGTTGAGATATGTGTGTTACAGAATGGAGCTGCCCAGAAGATTGAGCCTGGAACAGACAAACCCGAGACAATTCACCTGGCATACTATCGACACGGATTCGGATTGGGCGAACATTATAATTCTCTTCGAAGAGCACCATAAAAACATCATAACTAAGGAGCACTTGAATTCTTATTCTAATTATAGGCGGGACTCTATCTAGTGCGACCAAATACTGACCCAATCATTTATCTTGCCATCTGCATCATATCCACCCCTGTTGGTGCTTTGGGGGTGAAAGTGTGCAATACGTTGAAGGCCATTCTTGTGTGGTAGGCCAAGTTTCTCAAGTTCTAACTCACAGTCCTCCTCATTATATGGCAATACTTCCCCTGGACGAGACAAATGACCTTCATAAATTCTTGGAGGCATAGCCCATGGCGGTCCTCCAATTGATGGAGATTTATTAGTGGGGAATTCAAGACAGATAAGTCTTCCTTCTGGAGATAGAAGTCCATGATATCGTTTAGACCATGCAGGCCTTAAACTAGGAGGTAATGCACAACCAAACTTTCTCAAGATTTAGTATTCTTGACATCAATAAACCCAAAGAGTTACATACCGTGTAATCATAGATCAAATCAAAGTTTTTCTCTCCATTGACGACTGTCAAGAAATCATCCTTAAAGAAGTCTCCGGCTATCCATGTAACATTTCCTTTCTGGATTCCGTCTTTCGGTTCATACAGACCTTTCCCATCTTTCTCCTTTTCGGTGTCTCTAGCACCCTGCAAACCAGTCTCGGAGATATCCAGCCCATAAGCATCATAACCCATAGCACTTAACAGCAAAACATCATACCCTTTTCCACATCCCGCTACTAAAGCTTTCTTTCTTGAACCATCAGCTTTCTTCGGAGCTAGATCTTCCCGCTCATTTAGGATATCAATCAGTGCTGGATTAGGTGAATCGTTGTCCCATGGAGTCACATTGTCTTTCCAGAGCTGATCCCATTTCTCGCCGTGCTGAGCTGGATCTTGACCTTCGAATTGGGCTTTAAGGAGAGCACGCTTTTCTGATTGTTCAGTACCATTTCGAAATTTTTCGTGAAAGCTCGACTTACCGGACAAACTGAGTTCGGATGTCATGTTTATTACTCTTTATTACAGTCTTCTTCCCTGTTGAATTTCAATGATATAGTCGTGTATGAGTCTCTTTGACAGGATACTGCGACGTGTATTCAACAAGTTTTCCGGTCATTCAGATGTTAACATCCCAAAAAACAATGACGAGAGAACATACCTCGTATAGCCTTTGGTGGGGGCATTTGTGGCAACTGTGGCGCTAATAAGTAAGCAGAGCTTAGGTACCCCGGTCCTGAATTGAGCCGAGGCCCAGGCAACCTTAACCCCAGATACCGTTGACTAGAGGTTTCGTATTGCGCACATTGTTTTAAACCCTTTATGTCTGAGTGGGAGTGTAAACACGAAGGGGGGAAGCTCCATGTGGCCCACCCCTCTCACTCTTCCAAAGCCCTATGGCTGTTCCAATTCATAATCATAATCGCTCTCATACCTTCCTATAGCCATGTAATGTATCCCACCATATAATCAAACAATTTGACCTAGTGTAGAAAAGCATCACCCTGGTGCTATACACAAATATCCGTAACAACGTCGTCACGATGATCTTCTCGCAGGCTCTAAATCACAATCACAATCACTCTCCATTCCCCATATTATCATAATTACCTACTCCGTACCATACAAGCATATATGATTTACCCTGGCATAGAAAACGACACCCACCCTTACGCCACACCAAAGCTTTCCGTCATTTCCGTCGAAACCTCGGCACGACAAAAGATGTGGTTCCTTTCGACCTCCTTGATCACCAACTTCAAATCATTCCTTTCCTTATTCTACACAAGATAACACTTCACTATCTCTACATAATCATGGATACCGCAAATCTCTTCAACGTCAAGGTAATCAATCAAGCTCCCTCTTTTAGTAATCCACAAACTCACGATATCAATAGGACAAAGTCGTTCTTGTTACCGGCGGCGCAAAGGGAATTGGACGAATGATATCCGAAGGCTTCGTCACAAATGGAGCCAAAGTCTACATCTCATCCCGCGATGCCAAAGCCTGCGAAGAAGCCTGCAAAGAATTGAATGCGCTAGGTAGGTACCTCAACATCTCTCCATTCGTGCGACACGATCAAGCTAATTCCTCTTTCCTACAGGCAAAGGTTCCGCACACGCCATCCCAGCCGACTTTTACAAACTCGAAGATTGCAAACGCATGGTCGATGAATTACAAAAGAAAGAATCGAAATTACATATTCTAGTCAACAACTCGGGAAGTAATTGGGGAGCTCCTTATGCGGAATTCCCTGATGCCGCGTGGACGAGAGTTCTGACTCTCAATCTCACAAGAGTCTTTACTCTGACGCAAGCTCTCACTCCTCTTATGGAAGCAGCTTCTACCCCAGAAGATCCAGCACGTATCATCAATATCGGCTCTGTAGACGGAATCCGTGTCCCTTCTCTCGAAACCTTTTCATACTCGGCAAGCAAAGCAGGATTACATCAATTAAGCAGAGTTCTTGCGAATCATTTAGGGAAGAGAAATATCACAAGTAACGTACTTGCATGTGGACCATTCGAAAGTAAAATGATGGCAGCTACGCTCAAGAATTTCAAAGACGAGATTGTGAGTGGGATTCCGCTGGGGAGAATCGGGAGTAAGGAGGATGTCGCAGGAGCTTGTTTGTTCTTGGCTAGTAAGGCGGGGAGTTATGTTAATGGGGCAACTATCCCGTTGGATGGAGGGAGTTTGGTGGGGAGTAAGTTGTAGATCTTTGTGGGGCAGGAGAAACATATCATTGTACATTTTACTTTTTGAAACATATCACGCTATATTAAGAATATTAGCATAATTTCGTCGGATTGGAAGGAATACAATATCGCGTGTTCTCGTCTCATGTTATAGGTTGGAATTTTGAGCATCGTCATTGTGCAGAGTCAAGCTTTGAACAATGCAGATATACAACAGCAATTTCTCAATTGTTCGAGTGAATGACAAGATCTACCTAGATATATCAAACCTCTATATGATGCTGAGAGCTAATGTGAAAATCTATAGAAATCCATTCTACTGTGCGTTATACAATGGTACCAGGAGTAATTCGGAGCACGAGAAAAGTCAGGTGATATAAGACATGCATGATCATGTGAATTAATAACTGTTGATATATACATGAACAATCTGTGGAGGAATACATGTGTACAACGATCATATACTGATGTGCTTGGGTGGGGGCCATCAGAAGAATTGAGACAAGCCCACACACTTTCATTTGGAGATTGAGGATAGGTATCAATACTCGGCGGCTGCGCAGCTTGTCTTCAACCAAGCCATACGAAACCACCCTTTTGCAACTATTGATGAGAAGGCACATCTATCTCAGATCGATTGCTCATTCAACCGTTCCGGGCCTCTAACGGCTATGTATCTAAGCATACATTATCTTGTTGTGATTACTCTATTCTAGAATAATCATTCCGCCAACTCGAATACCACGACTTCCTCAAGTATTCAAAGGCATCTTAGTGAGCCATGTAAAGTCGTCCGTGTCAAAGAGCCGGTCCAAATCTGTAAGAATCTGAGATGAACCACTATTTTCGGGGCTAGATTGCACAGTATCTTGGTGAGCAGATGCTGCATGACGGATTGGTTTTATTGGACACCAGTACTGAAATGTTGCCGCGCTATTATCGTCATCAGGGGTAGGTGGCCCGGCCTCAGTTTCAATCCGTTGAGAAGCTTTCTTCAAGCGGGAGAATTTTTGAGGCACGATCTGGAACAGGATATCTAGTATAGTAACCAGACGGAGGACCGACGAGTTGAAAGTAGTGTACTGTCTGAGAATTGCAGTGGCCTTGTAGAAACTTTCATGGATTGAAGCTTCTGATATTTCAGCCACAATAGAAGGGCAAAGACCTCCTGCAATCAGTACTGTCGCGGATTTGTACAAGAATGTTACATTGCACCACGATGCGGGGATCTCATTCGAACCTGAAGTTTCGCGAAGGTGTATAGTATCAATAGCCTCTTGGGCAATTTTAACACACACAATTGCACATTGTAGAGAGATTCGATGAGAGAGTAAAGTTCCAAGAGGGATGCGTTCTGTTTTATTTTGGAACTCGGTGCAAATTATTTGTTGAAGAACGGGCGTCAACAACAACAAGTGAATGTGGAGATATCTTGGATACTGTTAGTTTGATCTTATGGGTTACTTTTTTATGTATTTGTATTCATACCTTTGGTGAAGAACTGAAGCTCGACGGCTCAAAACAGCATTTGGATCGTTAGATGTAGAATGATTCTCAATTCTAAGATGGTCAGGATTGTCTCGTTCCCAATTTGAAAGTCTTTCCTGTAGATTAAGAATTGAAATGTTTGTCCCAGCAGATGAGGTGTTTTCGGAAGTGCAACGCACTTTCTTCAAATTTCTGTCAGGTTTACCATGTCTTGAATCCAGAAGTACGACATACAATATATCGTAAAGTTTTAGACCGGACTTATAGAATTCAGCAGTATAGGTTGGCGGCTTCTCGGTGGTGCTTCCTTCATTGTGTCTCTGTTGGTAATTATCTTCCTCCGTAAGTAAGGGGAGCGGAATAGTAGTGGCAGTTTGTGGGTCAATCATAGATGGACGCCCATATAACATTGAAACTTCTCTATCCATAAGAACACAAGTATGCCAAGCTTTACGAAGCGAGTCTCTAGCTTGGCTTTTGACTATTCTTTCGCTTGTTTCAGGTAAGTGAAGTTCAAGCAGCTGAGCTGTGCGTATTGCGTTTCCAACATATAACCAGCACGTACGAGATTCGCCCATGCTTTGAAAATATAACGCTAAGAGAAGATATGACTGAACTGAACGGACTGAACACTCTTGGATGTTGAGGAATCCTTGTGCTCTTCTGCAAAAGATGGAAGCCATATTCTCATGGTTTGAAACTGTTGTTCTCGTTTGGCGGCTGCTGATAGCGAATACCGAGTTTATTAGACAAATCAACGATCCTTGATCAGTTGTGTAATTGTCACAGCGCCAAATTCTTTCATACTCTTCTCGTAATTCCAGTCTATCCAAAAATGGATAAAAAACATGAACATTCTCAAAATACGATGTGAGTAGGCTATCGGCTTGCTCCCGACTTGGTAAAGCGTAGTCCAGATTCCTTAGTTGTGATTCATGAGTTGTTATTCGGGATGAGGGAATGTTGAGATCAAAGCCAAGAACATTTGATGCATGTGTTGATGCTTCACCGATTTTCTCTACGACTAAGTTCTCCACTTCTTGCATGAAACTTTGTGCAAAAGGTTTTTCAATAACGCCGGTCCCGTGATTATGATCCACCACAATGTTATGGCTGGGAGGGTTGCTAGAGGTGCACATAGTATCGATGCTTTTTGAGAGCTCTTGAAATGAAGGAACTAGGCCTGGGCTGATTGTGGGAGCCAAATTAGACTGCCATTGATTGGTGCTCATTTCTGGCGTATTCATTGACGGGTATCCCTCCCACGCAACTGTAGAAAGCCATGTTGCAGATGCAGGTGAAGCTGAAGTGGTAGCTCCATGACTACTCATGGTCTCTGCTGATAAGTCTTCTGAAGCACTATTTGAACTTGGGTTATTGCTGGCTGAGATTTGGGAACCTTGACTGTTACGTGCTTCCAGCAGTTTGATTTGACCTTCGAGGCGTTTGATATAATCTGCGGATACTGATGGAGCATGTGAAAAGTCCGTGGCCCACGTGCAAGAAACTGACTTGGACCTTTTCTCGCATGGTCCGCACACTATGAGAAGGGAACGATTAGCATATATAAGTGACCTTGAAAATTTGTTACTTAGTTAGTGAATAATACTTGGTTGATGACCATCACATTTGACCTGTCGACAGAATTTAGTAAATGTTGTTATAATCTACGTTGGAACTGCTGCTACCTTCCGGCCTCGGCAGGGATCACAAGCCGTTGCCACCTTCTGCCTTTTTGGTGCTCGAGTATCCATAGCTTCACTGCAATTTCTGATTAAATTGTGATAGAGCCTCAGATTGGTCAAATGCTTTACCTCGTTGTACAATGGAGGTTATGGGCAACAGAATGGAATGCGGCAGGGATGCGCTGTTCGCACGTGACAAAACTTCGAGTTGGGGCTCTTCTTGAGCTAGAATTGGAAGGTCAAGTGTGACGTTCAGTGAGATCTCCTTAATGCTATATCTGAAGACTATAATCTATGCAGTATTTTCATTCCGCAATGCATCTAACACTCAGTATTGAAAACACGGTAAGAAGTACCAGATCACGGAAGCGATCCGAAGCTTATGAAAGCAATCGGAAGCAAGACGGTCGAAATATAGCCCGAATCCACAATTAAACGACAAGATTTGCACTCTTCCCCCATTATTTCAGACCAAAATATTTCACAGGCAACACTTCTCGGATAATCCGCATTCAATCGATTCATACTTACATAATTAGCTATGCTATGAAACAGTTTTGAGATCTTTTTGATTCTACTACACATAGCAAGTAGTTCTTGGAAGTTACACTAAGCAATCTTCTTCTTGTGCTTCAAATCCTCCAAATCATCATTTGTGGATACAATTATGCGAGAACTCTTGATTTCTGGTCTAGAGAGCAGTTCTGTATAAGAGCGAGCGAAATCAGACGATTTCATTGCTCCCGTTTTAGCGGCCGATGAATCAACTTCAACCCGACAATTAAGATACACTTCGTTGAAGCGAACGCTCGAATCAGTATTATCACGGCAGGCTACGTTTGCCATCGAGAAGAGGGGACCTTGTGAGATAGCGGGTGCTGCGCGAGCCCCAATGTCACCCTGTGCACCGGTGCAGAGTGTGAAGCTAGTTGCTTTCTTTTGCTCTAGCAAATATGGGATGGTTGCACGGTAAGCGACTATGGTAGTTAGTGGATTTATCAACGCTGCTGCTACAATTATATAGATCTTACAAAAGTTGGATTCAAAGTTGACACTCATGATTTGACGTAGTTCGTTGAGGCTTAGCTCAGTCAAAGACGTTGCACCGTATGCACCTCCAGCTATATTAACAATTAGTAAAGGACGAATCATGCATACTATGGTCTTACCAGCAGAGTAAACATGCTGAAAATCTGGCAGTTTCCCAGCCCGGACTTGGTCCACCACAGTTTGCACTCCTCCTTCTGACATGATGTCGGCCTCGACTGTTGTGATGCCGTTCTTTGTTCCCACATGTTTGAACAACTTGTCCGCAGAGGCCTGGTTCCTCACTATTGCAAGTACATGACGCTTAGATTGTAAGGCTCCAAGTACTGCTGCGACACCGATGTTGCCAGTGGCTCCGATAACAAGAACGTTCTCCATATTTTGAACTGATGAAGATGATATTGCAGGAAGTTTGAGAACTTGATGTGATGAATATTCGGAGATGTTGTCTTATGATGAGTTAAGGAAACTTACAAAATGCTGAAGAGTGCTTCTTATATCAAAAGAGCACATTACCCTCGGTTCTTTTGGGCTAAAATCAAAAACCGAAACGGAGAAACTCGAGGGTGACGGATGATCTTCCGAATTAAGATTGGGTAGCGTCGGAATAGCTTCCGAGCTCGAGCCCGGCGACATAATCGGAGCTTCCGTAATTATGACATTTGTCAACGGAAGCGTCTCCGAGTTTCATAAGCTTACAGCTTATCGGTGGATTTGCTCCGCGGCAAAGAGTTATCCCGTCCCCACCGAGACCTTCACAGCTAAGGGTTCATTGACGTACGGACGTATGGAATAAGTTTCATTTCTCTGGCCCTTTGAGCTCGCTCTATCTGCTCCCTTTTATTTATTCTCCATCACTTACACCTTCTCTCCCAATACACAATTTGCAGGTTCAATTCAGATTTCTACCAAGATTGTCTCAATCCTACAATTCTTAGCAGAAACTTTATTTTAATCGTACGTTACTCGGCCGGTTTCGTGTACAACGAAATGGTGGTAGACGAGGAAAAGGCAGAGACCAGCCGAGCACTCCCTCAAGAGATCCATGCTCCAAGAACCACAGCTACCCGAGATGTAGAGCCAAACAAGGAGCTTGAATCTCCTAATGAATCCACCAATCCAGCTCTTGTGCGTCCAGAAATCTCTCCGAGCGAAGGCTTGAACCCAGCATTAGAGCATATCCCTACGCCAATGGTAGTGCCACGATCAAAACGGCGGGGACTACTTGGATTATTGACCATTATACCAGAAGTCGAAAATCCACAAAACTATAAGAATGGTACTAAATGGCTGATAACATTCATTGTTGCAGTGGCAGGTGCTGCAGCACCGCTAGGAAGTGCTATATTCTTTCGTGAGTTTCTATGTGTTTCCCATCACTCCATTGCCGGAATATTATATTGCTACAAGTGCTGACCTTCTGCGCAGCTGCACTTACTGAACTCTCGGAAGACTTTCATGCTTCCAAAACACTCACCAATCTCGCTGTGGCCATGTATCTTTTAGCTATGTCTATATTTCCACTCTGGTGGTCCGCTTTTTCGGAGATATTTGGCCGTCGAACAATATGCTTGATATCTTTCGCGCTCTTTACGCTATGGAGTGCTATTGCCGCAATATCTACTTCCATGGCAATGCTGATCGTAATGAGAGTGTTAGGAGGGGGTGCAGCTGCCTCCGTTTTGGCTATCGGTGCAGGAACTATTGCGGATATTTGGGAGCCAAAGGAGCGTGGTCGTGCGATGGGAATATTCTTCCTAGGTCCTATGTTGGGGCCGCTCCTAGCTCCGATTATTGGTGGAGCAGTAGCGGAAAAATGGGGCTGGCGAAGTACCCAATGGTTTCAGACTATCTATGGAGGGGTATTATTGATTCTGTTGTTATTTTGCCTTCCTGAGACACTCACAAGACGAGCTCCAGTCGTCGAGGAACTCGCTGATGGGAACATTACATCTCATCGACCTAATTTTGCTCCCTTGCCGACTTCGCCATCTATTCAACATAGAATGAAAAGGATGGTAGTCATTTCAAAACAGTCAATAATTGATCCATTAAAGATATTGGGCTATCTTCGATTTTCAGCCGTCTCGGTCACAGTCTACATCGGGAGCATAACCTTTGGATCTTTATACATATTGAACATTGCTATCCAAAAGACATTTGGGGAGGAGCCGTATGAGTTTTCTGAGGTAGTAGTCGGGCTGACATATATCCCAGGCTCACTAGGCTACATTGTGGCAGGTTTTGTGGGAGGTAAATGGTCGGATGCTATCATGCATCGAGAAGCTCGTGCTGCAGGGCGATTTGATGAATCGGGAAAACTAATTCTCCGACCAGAAGATCGCATGAGAGAAAACGTTTTACTTGCTGCTGCTATTTATCCTGCTGGTCTTTTATGGTTTGGATGGACTGCAGAGGAAGGAGTTTATTGGATCGTCCCCTTGATTGCGAATTTCTTCTTTGGGTTTGGAACTATGATCATTTTTTCCACTGCAACTACTATGTCAGTATCTCCTTCGCGAAACCAACAAATCATTCAGAGAACTATTTCCAATAATGCAAAAATAGGCTTACGGAGTTTCTCCCCAAACGAAGTTCGAGCGGTGTAGCAGTGAGTACATTTGTGCGGACAATTTTCAGCTGTGTCGGGTCAGTGATTGCGCAACCTTTGCTGCAAGCCATTGGAGACGGGTGGCTATTTACGATACTAGCCATCATTGGATGGATCAGCGCGTTCTCAGTTGTTTGGGTTATGAAACGATTTGGGCCTAGGTGGCAGATTGAGATGGGGAAGAAGTTGGCTCAGTAGACTCACTTCAGCGCGGATAGCTTCACTCTGTAAATGATACAAACTTGACGTTGGCTAAACCCATACTTAGATGAAGCCCCCAAATAGAGGCTCCAGAACATCAAACTTCGATCGATTGATTTTTATTTACATCGTACGTAAAGACTTCATGTTATCTTTTTCTATAACGTTTCTGAATTCACAAAGTGAATTTGCATATCAAACTCGAGTGAACAAAGCTGCCGGTATCATCGATCCAAACCCAAGACTACCCAACTAGCTTAACTCGACTGGCGAGAAATCACCAAGCGAAATTGAGTGGAACTAGTATCAACAGCCTATTATATATACTGACATCTATTTACGTCAACTCGTACATCAAATCGATAAGATAGTCACTCGCAGAAACAAAAAGATCGATCTACGAGAAAGGATGAATTTAAAATTAAAGGTAGCCAGAAGCCTTATTCTTTCGTTCATAAAGTGGTGTTTTGCCCCCTGTTGTTTCTGTTTATAGTTCTTGCTGTCGAGTTTCCGAGCCATCGCTACACTTTTATGACCATTCAGTGAATCTTTATCGCTGTCGATTCGAATATCCCGTTCAAAAATGCATCAATCTATAAATTTCTTCAACTGCGAATATTTGTCCAGCGCGGTAGTTTTCTTAGCCACGTGAACCTTAGAAGTTAGAAATATTGTGACCCATCAAACCTGGTGATATCTGGCGTCTGCTACTTTTAAGCTATACCCGAAGCAATAAGTGTATCCAAAAATCGTTTTATAGACGAAGATTTATTTCCTTTCTACGATAATTTGAGATCAGTCGCTATGATCTTTGACCGCTTGGATCTGTATGCACCCAAATGACCTCCATTCATATCTTAGCAGTCGGGAGTCACGTTTTATAATCCGAGAAAGGATATAAATCCACCATTCTGATCCTTCTTTTCACTTCAGACAACATCAAAACCTGTCAAATAACGGAGTTTAGTGTCGCGTTTGTGTGACGCAAATGATTTGGTATTCGCAATTATTGAGAGATGAGATTTTGTATAACTTCTGGGGAGCTCATGGAGATCTATTAGTGTTATTTATTTGATTATCGCTGTCATGTCGAATTTTTGTCGTTTACTTGAGAGGGAGTAGCTTTTGGATAGTGTCACTGTTTATATTTGTCAAGATATCCCGTAGCTTTACTCGCTGACATTCTTAGGGACTTGTGGCGTCTCAGCTTTTGCTCCATCCTTCGAATATGTTCAGCCATCAACCACTCACTCATATCCTAGGCTCAATTTTTGCACCACTGCACGATATCCTAATCTCAGTTCAGCTTTTTCTGAGTCTTTTCCCTGCAAATGTATCTACCTGCGATCTATTGATTCCAGAGAGCTTCACTTTTCCGGGTCCTGCTATGTACATGAAGAATGAGAGTGCTCCTGCGGAATCGCAAAGAGAAAGATTGTGTACTGAAGGGGGTAGTTTTGTAGTCATCTTTGGCAGTTAACAGACATACGTGTATGCTATGAGAAAATGAAACGAATATCCATGATTGGATAGTGAACATGTATTCCTTACCATCCTAATCATAGCTACTGCGTTATTCAAGCGACATATAAACTCTTAATCTTGCGAAAACTTTAACCCTATAAAAACAAACCATCAAAAAGATGCAGCTTATCATATGCGTAACCAGTCATCAATACCTTCAAGCCTCCATGCGTGCAGACTCTGACGAATATCACCACACCAGGACCCCATTGTTTGCATTTCCCACCTCAAATCTCTCCTACATATACCATCAATCAACCTCCAATTTCTCACCACGAAACCAAATCTCTAAACTAACCGACCACAAAACTCTACTCATAACAAGCAAAATAAGAAGAAAAATCCAAGAAAAAAAAAGAAAATGTGATCATATCCAACTCAAAATCTTCTCGTTACCTTGCAAGCTCGCAAAGACAACGCGACTCTACTGTAGAGCCAAAGCGAACCCCGATTCTCAAAGTTTCGTATGTTTGAAATCTCATAAACTGTGAGTTTATATGCAGAACAACATTTGATTTTGATAGGTACTAGGTAGGTAAATTGCTAGCTCCACATCTGATGTGCGAGCTGGTACTAACAATATGTTGTGCATTTTTTCCTCAGGGTAAGGTAGTGAAGAGCAGGGGATTCACTAGGACTCTTGGGACTTCGAGAAGAGTATGTAATGGGACACTTTGTTCTTTGGTGTGAGAGCGGAACAGGGTCGCGAAGCATGGTCATGATAGTGTCGCAGGAGTTTTGGTAGCTATGTCTGCTATCTATTGGTGTCATGATTGTATGGCCATCACACCTTCAGACAAGCGTTTGGTTTGCGGGTTATGAATTTGAGAAGGAAGTATCGCTGTCACGATTTTTTTTTGTTATGCTCCAAGAAACTTTCTTTGCGTTGTCGTTTTTGTTGTGTACATGCGCACAACTTCTCCTGTCTAACTCTAAAATGGAAATCGAAAGATGGTTAGAAATCGAACAATATTAATATGCCATATTTCCAAGAGACACACATTCCTCAGATCCCCGCTCGCGTAGCAGACTTTATTACTTTATGTTTGATATGCAGTCTTCTTTATATGAGGGTATTGGGAATTGAATTACGTGGAGTGTTTCCTTCATAACCTGTCCTCGTACTTCACAGCTCGATATTTGGTACCCAATTTGTAGTATAAAAGCTAATAGAGAGAGTACGCAAACCTAAGATAACCATCGATGGGCGAGCTTGAACTCGTTTCAAGTGGGTACTGTCACACTTGTGAGAATACGAGAGAGGATGTGTATTCTGTTGTTATGCGGATAGAAGCTTTGAGTCTCGGATATCTGTTTGTTTGAACTTTGGGGAGATTCAGTGATGATGAAGAAGAGATATGTACTGAGAAAAATGACAGAAACTTCTTACGGTGGTGTCAATCAAGCGCCATGATGAAAACGTTACACTTATATTGACGTTGCAAAGAGGATAGTGATAGGCTCAACAATGGCGATGATGATAGTATTTTACAACAGCAAGCTAGAGGTCACTCTTAGCCTCTTAGGCAATGTGATCATGTCCAGATTCCTCTACACTTACCATACCATCCATAAAATACAAGAGCAAGCTAGAAATCATAAGAGTGCTTTTAATGCCACATCACCAATTAAATATCTGCTTGGGGATTGAGAAACTTCGGATTGATCTCCCTACTTACAGCCACTACCATAGTTCAGAAACAAGAAATTCAACAACACATTGCACTTTCCATAACAATCTGGAAATACCTACGTCTATGGTAAAATAGTCCAGGAAACACATTTAAAGCAGAAAACATATATCCAAAAGGCTCGGATAGAAGACTCGCAATGAAGAGCGCACACCTTGATGAATCCAAATCCTCTTATTTATTTATTTTCAAAAAGAAAAATACCATCACCGACACAATCTTCTTGCTCGAGTACATTTACATATGAGTACCTACTTCTATCACCACCATTTATTCCTCCAGGCTTAAACATGGATATAAATATAAACCAACAATCACACACTTTCACCACTTCATCAGGCACTTGCCCACGATCAATCAAGCCATTGAGCATCCATTCCCAACTTTCTGTCCCCTACATACCACTACCATGATACAATGAACCAGAATACCACATCGATTTCAAGACACTCTCTAAAACATAAGAAAGAGAGAGAGATCGACTAAATGAAAAATAAAGTTTTCAATACATGTATGAAATGATGTAATGCAATTTAAGTATTCTCCGAGCAAATTGGATGATACATGGTAATAGGTACATGAGACGAGATGAGATGCGAATTCCATCGTGATGGATATTACGGTAATGCGGGGTAGGTAGCGATCTATGATGAATGAATGAGTGGATGGAAAGGAGGGAAGAAGAAAGAAAGTGGGAATAGCTTCATGGAAATGTAATTGGGTTTGTGATTTTGTGGTTACTATGGTCATGGTCATGTATGTACTCTATTGGTGAAATGAAATCCAACGAACCCCTTAACTATAATTACTGTGCATCGCATCCCAGCCACGATATGCATGTTGACCTCCTTTTATATACCTCCCTACCTGCCTACCTAGTATCAAGCATCTCAAACGTTGCGGTACAACATTCATTAGATTATGAAATAGTATTCTCAAACCTTGGATGTGTACCGTGCTATGGATATCATGATCCCAAGAGCAGACGATTCCCAGCCATTTCATTCACGGCAACTCCTTATCAAACAAACTCCGTTGTCATAGAAACCACATTTCCACCTCTTTCGTGCTAAATTCTGACTTTTCGGACTGACAGCTTACTTGACATTCTGACAAGCGATGTACGAACACTTATCAGCCGCTATGATTAGATATCAAACGCTACCATCCTTTAAACGGTCAACGGCCCCGTCATCCATGTCCTTGATTGACATATTGATTGCAACCAATCAGATTGGGGAGTTTGGGTTTAGGGTTTTTTTCTAGGAGGATGATACCGAATTGTGAAATTTTTGTACGCGATGGTCATGAGTAGTAGGGACGGTGCTAGGTAACATGTGCCTTGGAATAATGTCGATGGCTGTGATGTAAATTTTGGGGGTTGGGAATACAACCGTGCTACTTTGCTTGCTTGTACTCGAGTCCGAATGGTACCAATGGGAAACAAAGATTGATGGAGTGATGGATGTTGAGTCATTCTTTGAATTCTATTTGTAGGAATTGGAAATGGAAATGGAATTGGAATAGGAATGGGAATGGGAATTAGAGCTAAATGATGATGAGAAAGGGAGCGAGGTACGTG